CCAGTCCATCACAGGCACTCTAACACTAACTGGTGTTGGTATCAGTGGACTGAAACTCTCTGAGGTTTAGTTCCATGTTTCTTATATGAAGAATGAATTGCTCCTCCTTCCTGGCATGTGGGTAAACCTGTTATGGCATTTATTTCACTCTCTAGTGATGGGAATTCAACAACACATCACTGTGCCTGATAGAACCCCCAGCGCTGAGTAGATGATTCGCCTGGGTCTATGCTGTTGACTTTTCAGGCACAGTCTCTTCCATGGCTGTAGCGGTCAGGAAAAAGTAAGTGAAGCTGTGGTAACAAACAGCTCCCAAATCCCAGCAATATCAAACGTCAAAGGTTTATTTCCTGGTCACACCTCAAGTCACTCACTGGGTGAGGGCTCTACACCACATTGCCCTCACGTGGGACCCACACCAGCAGAGCCTCCTCTCTGGGACACCTGGGGTCACTTACAGCAAAGGGAAGGAGGGTGGCAAATCTCAACACTTGCTCCAAAGGGCTTCTGCCTAGAAGTGACACACTTCTGAAAGGGTCAATTCCTAGGCAGGTTTACAAGAAGTCTGGGGTCCCTGAGGAGGAGAAAATGTTCCAGAGCCCTTGAAAAGGAGAAAGGGGTATGGGGCTCTCAAGGAGAAAAGGACAAACGTTTTTTTCTACATTGCTTTGTCTTAGTCAATGTAACAATGTATCTTGCTTGAGGACATGTTTCTCTTTAACAAGAACCTTCTGACTGACCCTGTCATCTTGAAATGTATATGATGGGAGTGGGTCTAGTGAGACCTGCCGGAGCCTGCCGGCAAACGAACCAGTCAAGGGCGCAATCGCCGAAATACCTAAGAAATAAAGACTCGGAAAGATGGGGTTGAGAGGGACGGAGTCAGCTCTCGACTGAAACCGACCGACTTTATTGAGGAGTAACATGCTTATATATGCTAACAGGACTCACTAAATTTAGATCAAGGACATGTATACGTGCAGAATCGAAGGCATTAGTCTTCGCTCAGGAATTTTATCTCAACTCTTTAAGACTATCAGAGCAAGGGACTGGCGTCTTAGTATGATTACAATCAGTTAAAAGATTATCATGATTACAATCAATTAAAGATTATCTAAAGATTACCTAGACATAAACCATACACAGGAGACTGACAATCTCGTCAGGAAAATGGGTAAAAGGTCGCTACAGCAATTTCCTTGAGGGAGGTGAGAAAGGTCAACCTGCACTTTAATAAATCAGGGGTGGCGGGACAGAGAGGGACCTCTTGATCTCTCTCAGGGCCAAGAAGGAGCCTGAGCAGTCAGGCTGGCTCCCCGCAGAGACCTATATGTTGTTAGTTCTAATCTTGTTAATTTAAGATGTATGTTGTGGGAGTGGGTCTGGTAACAATATATAAGGCCTTGATAAGACTAGCTGGGGGGCACTCTCCATCCCCCTTCTGATGTCTGTGTCAGTGAAGATTTCTCTGTCCCTTTTCACTGTAATAAAATTCTGCTATACAAAACTCTTGAGTAATCAAGCCTGGTCCCTGGTCCCAAAGCTAACTCTTCTTCTTTGGAGATCGTGAACCCAGCATTGTTCAGCTATCATCTTGGGGGCTCGTCCGGGATCTTCAGGACAAGGTAAGAACACTCAGAGCTCTATCCTCTCTGCTTTCTCAGGATACACGTTTTCTGCTCTACTTGACTAACTCCATGGTGTGTTTGTGTGAATGAATGACACGCCCTGCGCGAAGTAAGTGATGAGCCCTGCTCTGTGGTTTTGCAGTGCCTCATAATGACTGAAGGCAGCCCCCAAAAGGGGAGCCGTGTTGGGGGTTTTTACCAACCTGCCAATGCTAAGAGACACCCAACCTCCCTGAGAGGGGAGTGACCAGAAATGGGCGAAGTGAGTGTACCGAACTTTCCTTTTCTCGGTCACCTTTTCCTGGTCTCTTTGACCACTTCATAATTTTGTGGGGAATTAGAACTATTAACCTAATCTGTCAGATCATAGGCTTTCAAGGGACCTGTAATCCATGCCATTACAGTGTCCTTTTACTTGGACCCTAAGCTTGGTAGTCATGGGGAACCCCAAACTTGCTGGGAGGCACATTCAGGAATGAGGCGGAACTCTAGCTCCAGCAGCAGTTTCAGGGCAAGGCAGAGCTCTAGCTCCAGAATTGTTTCTCAGGCTAGAGGTCACTCTCTTGGCTGCCTGCCTCAGGAGCCAGCAACCTGAAAATGGGTCTGTCACGGCTTTGCCTCCGATCTATGTGGATAGAAGCATTGCTGGTGGCCATGAGGTTTTTGAGGACCCAGATCAGGAATTGCAGGATCTGGTCATATTGGAAGTGCAATGGGCTTCTTCTATTGGTAGTGCTAGCTCTTAACAGACCAGAGAAGACTCTCTGATTGCTTCTCTATCAATTCCCTAGATACTCTTTTTGTGGAATCTGTGGAAATGACCTGGAAGGATTGGTCCTAGTAGCTTGAGAATAAAAATCACTTTTTCCTCACTGGCCGACCCTTTTGCTATCACATATACTGGCGTGGTGACACTCAGAAGGGACATCTTGGTTGCTGTTTATCCCTTTAGGACTCACCATTTCTACTGCAGTCAGAACTGTACTCAGGAATGAGCAAAGGCACATGTAAGATGGGTGCTTACCCTCGCAGTCCTAGCTTGGGAAACATTCCAGAAAATTACTCTGCTCCACCCTGGGTGGCATCAAAGGAAAAGGGCAAATCAAACAAAGGTCTTGGTGGTAAGAAACTAGAAATCAATCTGGGATGCCACCTGTTCATCTCCTAATGCCTGGTGCATCTCCACCCTGCCTCGGTGGTAGAACTGGGAGGGACAGGTAAGTCACCTGTGTCAGTAAGGGACCGGCTAAATCTGACCAGGGGAGGAAAGCTTTAGTGGAAAGCGTGTCTACACCCCCATCTAGTGCAGGGAGGGACACCTCCAGAAGCCATGGCTGTGGATGCCGCTTTTTTCTCTCTTACAGATAGGAGCTAGCAGTTCCAGAACCACTCTTTAAAAATGTATTTTTTAAAAAACTGGGACAAGTTCGATTCCCAGAATTTAAAAAGACATGCCTGATCTTCTTCTGTGATCTGAATGGCCACAGTAGTCTCTGGAGGATGGGGAATGCTGGCCTGTTGAAGGATCTCAATTACAATACTGTTTAACAATTAGACCAGTTCTGTAGAAAATAAGAGAAATGGGTAGAAGTGCCAAGTGTGTCGCTCTTTATCTCTCTGTGAGACATGCCAGACTTGTGTCCTAAGGGTACAGAGTTGGGTGTGAAAACTTCTGCTGCCTCCTGTTCTCTTACTTTACCCCTGTATCTGGGGCTCCCAACTGAACAGACTGAGAGTCAGGGCAGCCTTTCAGGAGGGGTTGCCTCAGTCTAGGTAGAAATTCAAACAGTCCCAATTGTGGACGAGACTATTTAGAGAATCCAAAGGGTACATAGAAGCCTTTACAGGACTAACTTTACTTTATGATCTTATTGGAGAGATATAATGCATGTCTTGGGACAGATGCTGACTCCTGACTCGAGAACTTGAATTTTGGGGGAAGCTACTATTTTTGGAGATGAATGGCTTGAACGTGAGACAGGGGAAAGAGGGAACATGAAATAGCCCTCCTCCCTACTGGAAGCCACGCGGTTCCCATAACAGTGCTAGACTGAGACTATAACATGGTTAAAGGAAGGTAAGATCAGGGTCACTTCATCAGATGTATTCTTGAAGGACTCAAGCGAGGGTATGCTAGGACTTTAGACTATGCTAAGTTGGCTGACATAGAACAGGGAGAGAAGGAAACTCCCGGTAAATTCTAGATAGACTATGGGAGGTTCTCTGAAAGTTTACTGATGTTGATCCTGAAAATGCAGAAGGAGGAATAATCTTAAAAGATATATTTCTCACTCAGTCAGCTCCAGATATCTGGTGCAAGCTATTAAGATAGGCATTTGGACTAAATCAGTCTTTAGAAAGCTGTTGCAGCTGGCTCAGATGGTATATTACGGTAGAGAATACGAGGAGGAAAAAAAGAACCAGGCAAAAGACTGAAGCCCCAACAATGGCTGTTAAATCCACTCTGAAACAGCCTGAGGTAAATGCCCAGAGGAACCCAGGTGAAAAGTGACAGACTTGTTATTACTGTGGAAAGGAGGGGCATCTTAAGCAGGATTGCCTTCAGGCATCTAAGCCCCTCATGTCCATGTCCCGTCTGTAAAGGGCCACACCTGAGAAGAGATTGCCCTCTGAGGCATAGGCCCCAGGGGTCAGACTCTCAGGACAATCAAGACTGAAGGTGCCCAGGGATCCCCACACAAGTCCCTGTCCTAATAACACCTGAGGAGCCCCAGCTATTAATAAATTGTGGGGGAACAATCAGTCAGTTTTCTTTTGGACACTGGGGCAACTTTCTCTGTGCTCACTGAAGCCCCTGGCCCACTTTCCTCCCGATCCACTACCATAATGGGACTGTCTGGATGAGCTAAACGCTATTATTTCAGTTGTCCCTTAAGCTGAAACTGGGACTCTCTGCTGTTTTCTCATTGTGCCAGAGTCTCCCTCACCCCTTCCGGGTCCAAACCTCTGTTTTCATGAATATGGAACCCTCTCTTCCTAACTGAACAAAATGCAAAAGTTTGGGCTGATGAAAAAACTGAGTCAAGCACAAAATACTGTTCCTGTTGTTATCAAGCTCAACAACCCTCACTTATTTCCACGTCAAAAGCAGTGTCCACTAAAGCCTGAGGTTAAGGAATGGGTGAAATCTTACTCATGGTGTAAGTGGGATCTTAAACTCTAAAGTTCAGAGTGGCAATGGTCCACCTTTAAAGCTGCTATAAGTCAAGGGGTGTCGAAAGTTCTAGGAATGGAATATCATTCCATCCATATCATTCCTGGAGACTCCAATCTTCAGAAAAAGTTGAAAAGGCTAATGACATTATTAAGAGGCATCTGCGTAAGCTAACTCAGGAAACACAAGACAGTTGGTTTAAAGTTTTACCCATAGCTTTAATGAGGGCTTGAACTGTCCCAAGAAGGAACTGTCTCTATGACAGACTGTTTTTACACACAGATATTGTCATATATCCTGAAGCTTTAGAATTAACCATGTGACTCAGCTTTCAGCTTTTCAACATCCTCATCAACTGAAGGCTTCCCATGGTGGGTTTCTCTACTTCAGGTAAAGGACGTTCTTCAACTCTGCGAATACCTTCACCAACAACAATCATATGTGATGCTCTACTTGATCTGATGATATCTAATGATCCTAAGATGGACTGGTATAACATATTGTACCTTAATTATGGACATAATGTTACTTTTAATTTTGATTATGTTTTAATTTGGTTTAATTACTCTTTTGCCTTACATCTGTAACTGTAAAATGGGGTTCGTTTCTAACCATCTGAAAGCTTTTAGGTTACAAATGGTTGTTCAAGCTCCCACAAGTGCCACAACCTCCTCCAACTGTTACTTGAGGCCCCTGGGTAAGAGACCCTCAATATGAGAGTTAGGAGAATACGTTGCCTCAACAATTTAGGGATGATGCTCCTCAACAGCAGGAAGTGGTTATGGGATGAAAATGATGCCCCTTCCCCTTGGCAGTATAATTCTCCTAAAAGAAAAGAGGGGAATGAAAGAGTCAATTCCTAGGTAGGTTGATAAGTCTGGGGTCCCTGAGGAGGAAAGGGGGCCTGGGGCTCTTGAGATAGGGGTCTGGAGTTCTCAAGGAGGAGAAAAAGACAAACGCTTTTTTCTCTAAGCCCAGAGCTGATGATTACACAATAAAACAACTCATCTTGCTCAAGTATGTGTTTTCCCCTAAACTCTGTACCAATGTATGACTCTGTACCAATATGACAACAATGTATCCTGCTTGAGGACATATTTCTCCTTCTTGAGAACCTTCAGACTATTCCTGTCATCTTAAAATGTGTATTATGGGAATGGGTCTGGTAAGATCTTCCTATTGTTAGTTCTAATCTTGTTGTCTTAAAATGTGTATTGTGGGAGTGGGTCTACAAACTTGACACATTCTTTTGGTTTACTGCAGTAACCAACTGAAAAAGTATATAACTCTCTTCCTAAGACTAGCACAGGGGGAACTCTCCATCCCCCTTCTGATGTCTATTTCAGAAGATTTCTCTGTCCCTTTTCACTGTAATAAAACTCTGCTATACAAAATCTCTTGAGTGATCAAGCCTGGTCCCTGGTCCTGAAAATAAATCTTCTTCAGAGATCACAAATCCGACATCGACATCGTTCACCATATGCTATCACTTCTGTTGATGTTTCACTGACTGAAACCAATCAGGTGGGAAAGTCCAAGCCTACTTTGTGTTTAAGATCAGGATGCTGGAAAACAGCACTAATGAGCCAGTTCCTCAGCTGAGGCTCAGGCTGGTACCTCCTAAGCATGGGAACAGAAGTGAGTGGTTTATTACTTCAGACTGGAGAAATGAGGCCCCAGAAGCTGTACCCAAACCACTGCAGAGGCTCCAGGCCACTGGCAACAGAAACAGCAGCAGAACTGCTAGCTAACAAGCTTGGACTGCGCAAGGCTCAGCCCTGAGAGATACAGTGGACATGCAGAAAGCGGACAGAGAGTTTCAGTGCTTTGCAGGACACCTATCCAGCTCCCGATCCTATATTTACAGTGTCCATCCCAAGAATTCTGGGAATGCAAGACAGGCCGCCTCCCTGACGTCAGCTCCTCCTGATGGACAGGGCTTTTTGCTATCTTTTGGTACATCCCAAGGTGGCTTCTCTCTCAAAATGATGGTGTTGACTCATTCAGGCCAAGAGAAAAACTCCACTACTTTCCCAAGTGATCCCCAGCCACGTGTCTCAGTAGAACTGTGGGGCAGGCAGGGCTTTGCATGGGACAACCTACAAATGATTCCCAGAGCCATGTCCAACCTCCCAGACCCAGTTCTGCAGCAGCACCAGCCTGAGGCATCAGGACAAGGGGTTCTCTCTGCTTTCTCTCTGGCAGGAGCACATGCAGCTGCATCCCTCCCCTTGGAAGGCCTCCTGGGGATGTGCAGGGGCAAAAACACACTGCTGCACAGACACACTCCTAGACAAGGGTCTTTCTGCTGCCTGGCCAGACTCTTGGGAACAATATGTCTGAATGGTGGGCTATACAGCATCTGTCCCCCTTGCTGGTCATGTCATCCACCTTTCCTTCCCTCTTCTGTGCCTTCAACCAGCTGTTTTGTGAGAACATAGGATGGGGTGTTCTTAGTTGGAGCCCACAGCCACCAGACTATATTTTTGTGTCTGAAGCCCACATTTATTTTGTCTACAGATGAATCACAGGTGACCCTGTTGACCAAGATGCTGGGTTACCATCCCTTTTCCTTCTCTCTTTCTCTTTCCTTCCTTCCTTCTTTCTCTCTCTCTCACACATTTACATTTGCAACCAGCTCTCAGGTGAGTTTCTTTCAGAAGGCACTGATTTGGGATCTGGTTGATGATTCCTGGCTGCATTATGAGTGTGTGCCCCAAAGGCTGACTCTTGAGGCCCCAAGAACAAGCATTGCTTAAAAGCTGCCCACAGAGCTGTCCAGGAAAAGGGTGACCCCCAAGATCGGGTCAGGGATGTTAATTAGAAAAAATTTGCAACAGTCCTCTGGCCAACAAATGTGCTAGGATTTCTGCTGGCTAAGGCTTCTCTGGAGCATGACCAGAGCGGCCCCCACAGCTGCATCTACATCCTGTCCATAGGACACCGGCAGAGGGAACGCCCTCTGCACCTCCTGCTTCAGCACTTCGTTCCTGGACAGCGCACTCCCGCTTCCAATCACCCGCTCCACGCCCCACTCCCGGAGCTGCTGAAATGGAAGCATTGAATACAGGTTCTGAATGATGCCTCTGCACAGGGCCCGGGTCACATGTCCCAGGGAGAGGTCAGAGGAGGAGATTCCAGTCACTGAGGCCAGCTGGTCCGGCAGATGCCTCTCGCCCAGCACTGTTGGAGTGATGGTCAGGCAGGTGTCTCTCTGCTGGGCAGCTGCCTGGATCATGCCTGAGTACACCATGGATTCTTCAACTTCCAGGCCTGCCAGGGACAGAGAAGGTCTGTGTGAGTTCAGGCACCCCCTCGCTGCAGGCTATAGCGTTACCAGCGGGGCAAGAATGGGTTGACTTGCTGCCCCTCCTCACTGTAGGGGGCTGCTTCCTGGCTCAGAACTCACACAGTCTGGCTGACTGTGCTCAGCCCCAGACCCCAGCCAGCTCTCTTACTGCCCACCCCAACCCAGCCTTCAGGGAGAGATCTTGTATGCTGTGTGAGTCCTAACCATCCCACAGCTGTGGGATGCTTGGTCCCAAGTGGGCCAAATGCATACACTGATCAGTAAGTATCATCACAGCTGCTATTAGACTTATTAGCGATGTCAGAGAAATCCCAGGACCACAGTCTAGCCTGCCCCTTGGCAAAGGTTGAGAACCACCAATCTAGACCAGAGCTTGGAGTTCTGAATCACTCAAGGATCTTATTAAAATACAGCTTCTGGCTCACTGTTCCTGGGATGGGGCCTCAGCTTCTGCATTTGACCTCAGCTCACAGAGGAAGCCAGTGCAGCTGACCTGAGGACCATGCTTTTTGAGTAGAAGGTTCTAGATCAGTAGGACCCAGAGGCTTATTGACCTAGAAAGTAACCCAGTGGGGCGAGAGAGAGCTGGCAAACTATCTGGATACTTGGCAGTCAAGGTTAGAAGTAGTACTCTCAAAAGAGAGTAGGCAATGGCAGCTCAGAAGATGAGAGTAAAGAAGGCTGCCAGCTCAGAACCCTACAGAAGGAAGGAATGTGCCAGAATCTGGTTGAGTCTGAGACATGAATCTAGAAGCTTATTGCACATTCAGCACCAGGACACTGCCACACAGAACGGACAAGCAGAGAACACAGCCCTGAGTGGACCACCCTTACCTAGATCCGCCATCCACTGGACCAGCATGTGGACAAACATGGCCAGCACGTTGCCCCCATTGAGTGACGCTGCCACAGCCAGGTAAGTCCTGTCAAAGTATGGGAAGTAGGCAACTGGGGCTGCGGGGTCTGGAGTCTGCACTGGCTGGAATCCTGAAGGCATGGAGGCTACCAGCTGAACCGAGGTGCTGATGTTGAGAACTGGGGTCCGAGGAAAGCAGAGGTTAGGCCTGTTGGGCTAACTCAGAGGCCACAAGTCATAATGGGGCTGGGGAAGTATGTCACAAATTTCTGGATACTCCTCCTTTCAGGAGGCAGAGACTAATTGAAATAAATCAACTGGACTTCCCAGGTGGCACTAGTGGCAAAAAAAAAAAAGCCTGCCTGCCAATACAGGAGACATAAGAGACACAGGTTCTATCCCTGGGTCAGGAAGAGCCCCTGGAGAAAAAAATGGAACCACCCACTCCAGTACCCTTGCCTGGAGAATCCCATGGACAGAGGACCCTAGAGGGCTACAGTCCATGGGGTTGCAAAGAATCAGATATGACTTAGCAACTAAACAACAGCAACAACAAAGGATAGTACTGATCAGTTTTTAAACTAAAGTTTGAATTGTAATAGTTCCAATTGACGGAGGAAAAAAGATGTGATGACAAAGAAAACCCAAGTAAGATGAATGAATTCTTTGTTCCCCTTGATAACAAGGCAGGGCTCTCAAAGTGGGCCCACTCAGCCTGGTTGCCCTGAGGATCAAATGAAACACACAGTCTGCAACCACCTTGCTGGGGCAGGCAGGCCCAAAGTCCAAGGTCTACTCCACCCCAGGAGGGGCAAATGACAGCCCCCACACCATATCCAGCCTGGCCATATGTTTTTATATGGCCTAGGAGCTAAGAGTGGCTTTTGTACATATATCATTTTTAATGATAAGTTTATTGAGATGTATTATAATTCAAACAAATTCACCATAAAATATACCCTTTTCAAGCGTATAGTTCTGTGCTTTCTAGTATATTCACTATATACACTGTATATAGTATATACACAGGTAAACATCACTGTGATCTAATTTTAGGACATTTTTACCACTCTGGAAAGAAATCCCTTACAGGTTAGCAATCAACCCACACTCCCAGCTCTTGACAACCATGAATCCTCTTTCTGTCTCCATGAAATTGCCTATTCAATTCTGGACATTTCCCAGGAATGGAATCATACACTATGTGGCCTTTCACTTTCCTTCCCATGTTGTACCATGTTATCTCTGTGGATATACCACATTTTAAAAATTCATTTATCAGTTGATGAACATTTGGGTTGTTTCTGACTTTTGGCTACTATGAATACAGCTACGAGGAAAAATTGTGTAGAAATGTTTGTGTGGACATGTGTTTTCAAATCCCTTGGGTATACAGCAAGGAGTGGAATTGCTGGGTCATGGTAATTCCATGCTTAACTTTCAGAGAACTGTCAGACTGTTTTCCAAAGTTCAGTTCAGTCACTCAGTCATGTCTGACTCTTTGCGACCCCATGAACTGCAGCACACCAGGCCTCCCTGTCCATTACCAACTGCCGGAGTCTACCCAAACCCATGTCCATTGAGTTGGTGATGCCATCCAACCATCTCATCCTCTGTCGTCTCCTTCTCCTCCTGCCCTCAATCTTTCCCAGCATCAGGGTCTTTTCAAGTGAATCAACTCTTCACATCAGATGGCCAAACTATTGGAGTTTCATCTTCAACATCAGTCCTTTCAGTGAACACCCAGGACTGATCTGCTTTAGGATGGACTGCACCATTTTACAACTCCAGTGGGATATTCTTACCTTTTTAAATGGTTGAAAAGAAATGAAAAGGAGAAGACTATTTCATGAGACATGAAAATTTTATGAAATTCACATTTCAGCCTCTATAAATAAAGTTTTATTGGAACACAGCTACACCCACTCACTTATGCATTAGCTAAGGCTGCTTTTCTGCCCCAACAGCAGGTAAGTAGTTGTGGCAGAAACTAAATGGCCCACAAAGCCTGAAATATTTACTACCTGGCCCTTTACAGGAAAACTTTGCCAACCCCCGCCGTGGAGGGCAACCTCCACCTCTCTGTGACTCTCTCACACCAAATACAGGAATATTTGCACTTCTAATCAGCTCCGAGAGAACTTTCATTGACACACACACAGTAACAAAAACTCTAATCTACTCATCTGTTTCCTTGGTCATGGAGACACACAGAAACCAGCCAACTAGAGAGAGTCATTTTCCTCACCTGGCCCTAGAAAAGAAAGGCACTGGCTGTGCTCAGGGCTCAGCTCGTTCTGCTAGATGATAAGCTCCCTGGGCAGGGGCTTCACCTGTAGGGATGACGGTGGGGTTTTCCATTTGTTTCTTTTGTTTTTTATTGGACTGTATTGCGGCCTGTGGGCTCTTAGTTGCAACATGCAGGATCTAGTTCCCTGATCAGGGATCAAACCTGGGCCCCCTGTATTGGGCGCACTGAGTCTTAACCACTGGACCACCAGGGAAGCCCCGAAGGTATTTTTCATGTTTGCAGGACAATGATCAAGAGGACACTGAGACGGCTGGTTATGTGTGCCCCTCGGACCCTCACACAGAGCTGAGGCTTATGAGTCCCTGGTAGAGTCTGAGGAGAGAACCAAAGAAAGACTTACCTGCATCGGTCTTTTGGGCCATGCAGGAATAGACGGAGGCCTGCAAATCACCCAAGGCCACGCCCACCTGCGTCCCCCTTGGGATCTCAAACCAGGCCTGCGAAGTTCTTCCTGCCACGCTGCCAGGCTCCGCTACGTCTGGGAGCAGCTGGACGGGAAAGCCGGCGGCCCCCAGTCTGCAAATCCAAAGTGGACAGCCTATCTACCTGGTGCTGGGTCTTCCGTTTCCTGTTGCTTCCAGGAAACCGAGCAAAGGAAAGTGCTCTGAGACACACGTTCAAGAAGAAGGCAGAATCCAGTGTTTGTACAGAGGGCCCTTTTGCCTTTTTTTAAAACCATGAGATGTCTTGAGTTTTTTAGAGTGAACACTGGCTTTCAAGAGTTTGGGATGGGCCTTCCAAGGAAGAACATAACCAGTTTAAGCAGAGGTGATCGGAAAGGATTGGCTAAGAAGCAGATCAGCACCTGCCCTCCTGTGTTTGAGGGGCACACAAACACTCTGCAAAGGGGGGCAGGCAGAGTTTTAGAGCCAAGGCACAGTTGGTTAGCACAGGCCAAACCAAAGTCAAACCCATCAGTCTCCTGAACACCAAACGTAGTCACCACTCAGGGTTAGTGAACACGGGGCTGTCAATTTCATAAAACATGCTGGAAAGTCCTTTACCTGAACTACCAGGCACTTTTTATTACAGGGCTCAGAATTTGGGGGCTGGAGGAAGTGAATTTATGGACCTCTGGACCTGAAAAGGCAAATGATTGTTTCAAAAGAACTTAAAAGGTATCCCTCAAGCCTACTCCTTCCATTTCTTAACCCTGCTTTTAAATATATTATAATAAAAATTAATTTTAAAAAAGAAAATGCATTTAAAATATTATCAAAAATAGTCAAATATCTATGATAAATTTAGTAAAAGATGTACAACTCTATGCATACAAACCATTATTAAAAGGAATTAAAGATTAAAAAAATAAATAAATGAAATGCTTTTAGAGGTTTGTGTCATTATATATATATATAAAATGGTGGTGAGGAGGGATAGTTAGGGAGTTTGGGATGGACATGTACACACTGTTATTTTTAAAATGGATAACTAGGGGACACACAATTTTCACAGTCAGGAGCCTGCCGTGTACCCCTTTGCCTGACAAAGCAATAAAGCTATCCTTTTCTACTTCAAAAAATAAATAAAATAAAATGGAAAACCAACAAGGACCGACTGCACAGCACAGAGAACTCTGCTCAATGTTATGTAACAACCTAAATGGGAAAATAATTTGAAGAAAAAATAGATACATGTTTTTGTATAACTGAATCACTTTGTTGCACACCTGAAATTAACACATTGTTAATCAACTATACTCCAATATAGAATAGAAAAATTAAAAAAAAAAAGATAAAATGTATTTAAAAATGAAAGTTGTTGTTTAGCATCTATGGGCTAGGTCCGGGATTCAGAAAGAATCGGGAGTGCACCCCAGGCCCAGGCAACAGTGGAAGAGCAGGAGAGCATGGCGTGGTGGCAGCACCGTCCCCCCCCCAAGGACGTCACTTACGGTCAGGCCCACCCCTGCCCAGGGGCTGGAACAGACTGGGGTCTGTTGGAACCTGATTCTTGGCCTCGTGGCATCCTCCACTATCCCCAGATGGGAATGCCCCACTGAAGCTCCCGCTTCAGAGATTCTACCTTTCAGCCTCAAGCCAGCCTTCAAGGTTATACTCACATCTCCAAGTTCCAGCTTTGGCTCCTGGTGTTGAAATAGCCCCAGCTAGCAGCATTCTGGTCGGACATCAAGGGTCTTGCCAAGCCGCACAGCATGGCAACCACATAGTCATGGATGGTGCCAGCTGCATCGTAGGACTTGAGGAAGTCCGGGCTGTTTGTCACACCCAAAACAATTCAGCGTGGTTTAATATTGATTGAAAGGCATGAGCCGCAGCTAACTGAGGGCGGTGTGGACTAGACATGGCGTAACTGGGCAGCAACCAGAATCCCACAGCTGAACTTCCTAAGGTGAGGACCTCCAAACACCTTCACACCAAGCTGGCCGGAGTCAGCCTTAGGGGAGGGTATTCATAGGAGGACACATCATGCCTGGGAAAGCAGGACATCAACCATTCTGAGCAGTCCTGACCCCACTATGAACCCATCATGTGACCATCGGCAACTCCCTTACCCTCTCTGGCCCCTTCTTTTCCCCTCTGGGTTAGAATCAGATAACCAACAAGCCCCCTCTCCAAAATGAAGAAGCAGTGGTTCCAAGTCTAGGTCTTGAGACTGTATCCTATACAGGGCCACGCTCACTAAGGGACAGTCCAATGTGGGGTGATGATGGCCGGCTAGAGGTACAGCTCCCTGGCCACTCTCCTGCATCAAAATCATAGTGCTTGGGCTCAGCTGTGTCTGGCTCTTGGCAACCCCATGGACTGTAGCCCCCAAGGGTCCTCTGTCCATGGGGTTTTCCAGGCAAGAATGCTGGACTGGTTGCTATGTCCTTCTCCAGGGGGTCTTCCCCGACTCAGGGATCAAACCCACATCTCCTGTGCCCCCTACACTGCAGGTGGATTCTTTACCCACTGAGCCATCAGCTAGCTGCTCTCATTCCCCTGAAAATCCGTCATCTGATTCAAAGAACAGTCATCCGTACCTATTTTTCAAAAGCCAGAAGATGGTTGCACAGCCAAACCCCGTGGCCACGCTGAGATGGGACTCCAGCTGCGGCAGAGAAGCCAGGAACTCGCTGCTACACCGGCCATCCTGCCACGTGACCAGGTGGCTCACAGCTCCAGGCTCGAACACAGGGGTGGCCCCTCCCTCTGTCCATGCACAGCCTGGAAGGAAGATGACCGAAAAAGGAGAATAGGGCAACTGATGGGCAGCAGCATGTCCTTGAGACGACCCTGCTAGTGAGGTTACAGGATGGACTTTATCACCCGTGACAATGCTTTATTCACACACAGGGGTCCTGGCCAGGACCCGGAAGAGCAGAGAGTGGATGTACCTAGAGATGGTTACGGTGAGTGAAGTCAGTCAGGCACAGAAGGACAAGTATCACATGACAGCCCTTATATGTGGAATCTAAAAAAAAAAGTGGTACCCATGAACTTATTTACAAAACAGAAATAGAGTCACAGATGGGGAAAACAAATATAGTTACAGAGGAGGAGGGGAAGGGATAAATTGGGAGGCCAGGATGGACAAATACAAACTATTATATATAAAACCAATAACTGGGGACTTCCCTGGTGGTCCAGTGGCTAAGACTCCATGCTCCCAAAGCAGGGGGCCTGGGTTCGATCCCTGGTCAGGGAGCTAGATCCCACATGCGGAATTAAAGATTCTGCATGGCAGATAGATCTAAGATGACGACTGTGGAACCTGAAACCACCCCCACTCCGAATCCCCCGCCTACAGAGGAAGAGAAAACAGAATCTAATCAGGAGGTTGCTAACCCAGAACCCTATATTAAATACCCTTTACAGAACAGATGGGCACTCTGGTTTTTTAAAAATGATAAAAGCAAAACTTGGCAAGCAAACCTTTGATTGATCTCTAAGTTTGATACTGTTGAAGACTTTTGGGCTCTTTACAACCATATCCAGTTGTCTAGTAATTTAATGCCTGGCTGTGACTACTCACTTTTTAAGGATGGTATTGAGCCTATGTGGCAAGATGAGAAAAACAAATGAGGAGGACGATGGCTAATTACACTGAACAAACAGCAGAGACGAAGTGACCTCGATCGTTTTTGGCTAGAGACACTGCTGTGCCTTATTGGAGAATCTTTTGATGAATACAGTGATGATGTATGTGGAGCTGTTGTTAACGTTAGAGCTAAAGGTGATAAAATAGCAATATGGACTACTGAATGTGAAAACAGAGAAGTTGTTACACATATGGGGAGGGTACACAAGGAAAGGTTAGGACTTCCTCCAAAGATAGTGATTGGTTATCAGTCCCATGCAGACACAGCTACTAAGAGCGGCTCCACCACTAAAAATAGGTTTGTTGTTTAAGAAGACACCTTCTGAGTATTCTCATAGGAGACTGCGTCAAGCAATCGAGATTTGGGAGCTGAACCAAAGCCTCTTCAAAAGCAGAGTGGACTGCATTTAAATTTGATTTCCATCTAAATGTTGCTAAGATATAAGAGAAGTCTCATTCGCCTTTGTCTTGTACTTCTGTGTTCATATTTTCTTTTTTTTGGCTAGAGTGTCCATTATCCCAATCAAAGAATTACAATACACATCATCCCCAGAATCCATAAATGTGTTCCTGGCCCACTCTGTAATAGCTTAATAGGAATAACCATTACAAACACATTTGACCCATAAAAAAAAAAGAACTTGCATTTCTATACCTTACAAGAGAATGATTTTGTTTACGTTCCATTGTATGCAGGAGCATATTTTGCTGGTTTGAAAGAGTATGATGCATACAGTTTTCTGGCAATTTTCTTTGTTTCTTTTTACAGCATTATCTGTGCTGTACTCTTGCTGATGGCTGCTAGATTTTAATTTATTTGTTTCCCTACTTGATAACATTAGTGATTCTGATTTCAGTTTTTCATTTGTTTTGCTTTAGTTTTTCTTTCTCATGTAACATTGGTGAAGAATCTAGGAATATGACATAAAGGTAGAATAAACAGTAATTTTGTGCATTCTTGGTAATATTTTTTTGTAACTTAACTACAATGCTTTGCTACAAATTTATGCTTTTCATTCAAATCACTGATCTATGTTTGTGTGGTTTCCTAAACTTAATTGTGTATTATAAAAAATGTAGTATCATAATTACATTCCTAATTAGAATTAGTATGTCTGGTTTTGTATCTTTATGCTGTATTTTAACACTCTGTATTACTTAGGTTATTTTACTTTGGTTAAAAAATTGGCTCAAATAGAAAAGTGGTCCCACTCCTATTAAGACAGTGTACAAAACTGTAAATAAAATGTGTACAGTGAATTGTCTTTTAGAGAAAAAAAAAAGATTCCACATGCCACAACGAAGATCAAAGATCCTGCATGTCACAACAAAGACCCGGGTCAGCCAAACAAATAAACAAGATTTTTATTTTTAAAAAATAGATAACTAATAAGGACCCACTGTATAGCACAGGGAACTCCACTCAAAACTCTGTAATTATCTATATGGGAAAAGAATCCAGAAAAGAGTGGTATAGGTATATGGATCACTGATTTACTTTGCTGCATTGTAAATCAACTACACTCCAATAAAAGTTATTTTTAAAAAAAGAAAAAGAAGTAGAGCAGGGAGGTGGTCACAAATGTATGTACCTGAACCTTTTTAAGTTTCACCTGGAAAATAGGGGTAAGCGGGTGATGGGATGGCCCCCCTTAGGGTAATCTACCCTCAAAGCCACATTTCTGCTTAAAACAGGGAGTCTAACCCCTACAGTAAAACTGGACATCTGCAGCTGTTTTTTTTTCAACCCTTTTATCTGCTTCCAAAACTCTTTTGACCCTTTTTAAAAAACTTCTAGGACTATCATTTTTATTTTGTCTGTATTATAAAACAGAGTTCTTACCATGTACCAGGGATTGTTCAAAGCACTTTCAAAATATTAATTTATTTAATCTACATATTAGCCTTACAACATATGTGTGATAAGAGCTCTAGAGCACAGGCTCAACAGTTCTGGCTCACAGACTTACTTGCTGGGAGGTATGTGGGATCTTCCCAGATCAGGGATCAAACCGGTGTCCAGGGAAACCCCTGGGAACAGTATTTTAAAAAACCAATTTTCCACCCCCTTTGCCAACTCTTGACATTCTCAAACTGATTTCTTACAACCCAATGAGTAGAAAAATGATTTCTCACTGTTATTTTCATCTGCATTTCCCTAATTAATAGTGACACTGAGCATCTTTTCAAGTGCTTATTAGCTATTTGTACTTTCTCTTCTAGCATTTGCCTATTGGTTTCCTTTGCCCATTAGTCCACAGGGCCATTGGTCCTTTCTTTGTTACTCATTCTTCATAGGCCCCCAGCTTCATCCTTTGCCTACTATACATTAGTGAAAATTTTCTCCCTGCCTGCTGCTGGCCTTTTAGCTTGGTTTTACGATCCCCAGTTGTCTCCTGCCATTACTGGGCCTGAAAATGGAATGTGGAAACTGGCATAACCACAGGCCTCTCAAAAGACACCAGTCACTCCCTCTCCTCTCCTCCAATGGGCTCGCCTGTGCCCTCATGGAGGCACTTAGCTCTCTGCTCGGGTTGCTGGTGTCTGTCTGTGCTGACCGCCTTGAGTGAGCCCTGGCAGAGGAGGGCTGAATCCCCGTTCCTATGTCTCCTGTGGGGCCCAGCATGGAGCCTCAAGTATTGCAGATTCTGAAATCAAACCAAATTATGGCCACTGTTAAAAGCAGAACGACTTGATCTCAAATAGGATTTCACTTGCTCCGCTAAGCGGGTTATCATCACGGTTCAAATGGTGGCTCTCCTCCTCCCCATAAACAGAAACCAAACCAAGTAGGTGGGCAGGCGGGCTCCATGAAATATTAAGAAGCTCTCTCCACCCATATGGATAATGGTTTGTGTGGTTGTTACAGAGTCCAGGAGATGGGCAGAAGGGAAGGCGTGTGACCAGACCACAATCATTAGATCTCTGCTGTCCTCTCTGGGAAGGGTTTTAGTATTAAAAGGATGTTTATTCTCATTAATGCAAAATTAAGGAGTTTAAAAAGCTTTTACAACCTAGACTCTCCCCGAGAGGTCAGCACTAACACTCTGACCAGCCTTTGGCTCTTGCTACTGATTGGAGCCAAGCAGCTCCCGTGGTCCCTGCTGGATCCCTGCTGGTCTGACGATGGGCAGACAATGGGAGAAGAGGAGGAGGAGAGCCTGGGCTGGCTTCTGCATTTACCCAGGCCCATCCTGGGGACTGATCAAAGGCTGCATCACCAGACCCCCGTCAAGCTGCTCAAAAGCAGGTCGCCACTCACTTGGCCTAGGGGAATCAGAATCGCTGATTCTCCAGGCAAAGGAGGGGTGAATCCCATGTTCAGATCTCCTTAACTACAACCCCTCCCCCAGTAGCCATCATCCTCTGCTTAACACATCTGCAGTAAAATGTTGATATTTTTGAAGCTGGGTGATGGGTATGTGTTGGTTCATAACAACACTGTTCTCCCTACTTTTATGTCTATGTAGAACTTTTATATATATACATGTATATATATAATTTTATTTGTTTATTTATGGCTGTGCTGGGTCTTCATTGAGGCTTCCCTGATAGCTCAGTTGGTAAAGAATCTGCCTGCAATGCAGGATACCCTGGTTCAATTTCTGGGTTGGGGAGATTCCCTGGAGAAGGGAAAGGCTACCCACTACTTCACGGGCTTTTCTCTAGGTGCAGAGAGCAGGGGTTACTCTTCGATGCAATGTGTGGGCTTCTCGTTGGGGTGGCTTCTCTTGTTGCAGAAACACAGGCTCTAGGGGAGTGGGCTCAGAAGTTGGGGCCTCCAGGCTCTAAAGCACAGGATCAGTAGTTGGGGTGCACAGGTTTAATTGTTGGGCAGCATACGGGATCTTCCCAGACCAGGGATCAAAACCATGTCTTCTGCATTGGCAGGTGGATTCTTTACCACTGAGCCACCAGGGAAGCCCCGAACATTTTAGAATTTTTAAGAAATTTTTTTCATGTTTGCCATAACAGAAGCTCACCACTTCCTACAGGAGCATGATCCTTCCTTCCTTGGACATTCTGTTGGGTTGTTCCTCCCTTCATTGAGCTAGTGTATCCTTCTGTGGCTCTGGTCTTCCCAGATACCTTTCAAAGTTCAGTGTCTGAAGTCAGACAGACTTGGGTTTGAAAGCTGGAGTCACCATTTGCTGTCATATGACCCTGAGCATATTATTTTATAATCTCTCTGAGCCTCCACTTCTCATCTGCTCAAGAGGGACAATAATGTCACCTACGTCATAAGGGTGTTGGGAAAATTCGATGAGATCACACAGGTAACACCCTTAGCTCTGCACCTGGCAGGCAAAGCGCTCATTGCTGTTTTTCTGGCTTAATTTCCCTCCTGGAGGCCAAAGAGAACAAGCCACCCACATCTATACTGTGGCAGAACTTCTGAAATAAATAACCAATTAAATAATGCTTAGCAACAGTGCCCATTAAAAGGACATGGAACTGAAAATTCATGAATATCTGTGATGATGTTAAACAGCAAAAACTATGCTCAAATGCAGAAAAGTTTCCTCTGTGTCTTGACATCTGAAGCTATACTAATCTCTTGGTGTCGGCACTGATGTTCCAAGATACCCGTACAAAGAAAGAGAAAGCTATGAAAAATCCTCTCGACTGAATCCAACAGAGAATCAGAAAGGATTCACTCTTCACCCTCTCCCTGTTCATGTATAATGTGTGAGTGGAAAGTTCACTTTATTACATCTTTGAACAGGACAGGATGCTCACAAAACCCAAGAGGACAGCCTGACCCTTCACAGAGAGTCTTTGGCGGCACGTTTCTGGTTCCTGGTGAGGTAGAAGATAGATGAGCCCCAGGCTGAGCAGCTGGAGTTTGTCCCCTGTGGACAGACACTCCAAGATGAAGATAATAGCAGGAGCAAAGGGGAGTTGCACCCTGTTCAGATAAAAGATTAATAAGAGACCGAGAAGTCCCTGACAATCCAGTGGTTCAGACTCCATACTTCCAATGCAGGGGGCACGGGTTTGACTGATGGGAACTAAGGTCTGGGAACTAAGATCCCACAACCCCACATGCCTTGTAGCCAAAAAAGAAAGAGAGAGACCACATATTTCTTGTTCTTGAGGTCAAGGAGACATTCCCAGTTACACATGTGTAAAAAGGCTCCTCGGGGGTCAAAAAGGGAGGGAGTGCCACCCCATAGTAGGTGATGTCAACCTTCCCATAGGCCTCTTCCCTAGAATACATCTTGGCTAAGAGATGCGCACACACACAGGAGAGGACCCTGAGATAAACTAAACATGGCAAAGCAAGATGATTAGCAGCCAGAGGAAACCCAGAAGAAATGCCCCACATAAGTGATTCAAACTACCTCGGGGGCACAACTCTTTCCCTGAGCCCACCCGTGCATCTATCCACACATACCCTTTTTCCTCCTAACAAGCAATTTACTTGTTTCACTGCGTTTTGTATCTTTGGGGATATTCCTTTCTACAAAGCTGACAGGCCAGCGCCTTGTCACGGGCTATGGGTCTAGGGGCTAGGATTCAGCTCTCTCACTGCCTCACCGACTTCAGTCTCTGGCCAGGGAACCAAATTCCTGCTTTAAGCTGCGCCACAGGCTGAGGCCATCGAAGATCACAGGGTGACTGATTTTGCTTTGTTTTGTTTCAGTGTGGACCATTATTAAAATCTTTATAGGGCTTCCCTGGTGGTTCAGTGACAATCTGCCTGTAATGCAGGAGACGCGGGTTTGATCCCTGGGTTGGGAAGATCCCCTGGAGGAGGAAATGGCTACCCACTCCGGAATACTTGCCTGGAGAATTCCATGGACAGAGGAGCCTGGCAGGCTACAGTCCATGGGGTTGCAAAATAGTTGGACATGACTGAGCAACTAAACAACAACAACATTGAACTTGTTACAATATTGCTTCTGTTTAACACTGGGTTTTTTTTTGTCCTGGAGGCATGTGGGATCTTAGTCCCAGAACAGGGATAGAACCCACACCCACAGGGTGACTGTTAACAGAACATGATTGCCCCTAAGCCCAGCATACCTTGGCCTGTTTTCCAAAACATGACTCCATGCATCTGCCCTGACACTCCGATGCCACAGACCTTCCGGAGCTGCTCCCGAGGAAGGGCAGCGAGACACTCGTGGAGGGCCTGGATGATTCTCCTCACATCCTGTTCTTGCCCCTGGAAACAGAATAGGACAGGCTGGGCAGAGGCACACAAGGGAGGAGAGGAGGGCAGAGGCGGCAGGGACTTCCTGCGTGGGGGCTGCCTAGCTAATTCCCCTGAGGTCACTCCCAGAACCTGCTGACTGGGCCTCAAGGGTGAGATGTGGGCCTGAGGGGTCTCCACCATCTCCTCGTGGAGCAGGAATATGGTGGGCAAGGTTCTACTCCTCCCTTTACTGATGAGGGAGGGCTTGACCCAGGTTTGATCCCTGGGTCAGGAAGATCCCCTGGAGAAGGAAATGGCAACCCACTCCAGCATTCTTGCCTGGGAAATCCCATGGAAGGAGGAGCCTGGTGGGCTACAATCCACGGGGTCGCAGAGTCAGACACAACTGAGCAGCTTCACTTACTGATGAGGAGCCGCTGCAGCTCAAGTTCAACCAATGGCCGGGCTCTGCCCCATGCTGTGGAACAGTCTGAGCTGAGAAAAGCGCTGCCCTGCCCTACAGGCACTTACAGTCCAGTTGTGCTGTGTGCTGAGCTTAATCACTCAGTCATGTCTGATTCTTTGCAACCTCATGGCCTATAGTCCACCAGGCTCCTCTGTCCATGGGGATTCTCCAGGCAGGAATACTGCAGTAGATTGCATGCCCTCCTCCAGGGAATCTTCCCAACCCAGGGATCATACCCAGGTCTCCAGCATCGCAGGTGGATTCTTTACCAACTGAGCCACCAGAGAAGCCCAAGAACACTGGAGTCGGTAGCCTATCCCTTCTTCAGGGGGTCTTCTGGACCCAGGAATCGAACTGGGATCTCCAGCATTGCAGGTGGATTCTTTACCGGCTGAGCTACCAGGGAAGCCGTATAGTCCAACTGGACAGAAAAACACAAGAAAGATGTGCTGCAAGGAGAAATAAGGCAAGGTACATAGAATGCTGGGCTAGGAAAAGGATGGAACACAGCAGGAAAGACATAGACAAGAGAGGTTTCCTAGGGACTTCCCTGGTGGTCCAGTGGCTAAGACTCCGAGCTCCCAGTGCCAGGGGCTCAGGTTCGAGATCTAGTCAAGGAGCTCTATCACATTTGCCACAGCTAAGAGTTTGCATGCTGCAACTGAAGATCTCTCAAGCCACAACCAAGACCTGGTGCAGACAAATAAATAAATAAAAATTTTTGAAATAAAAGCACTTGTAACTTATTTTCAAAAAGAAAGAGAAGAAAGGCTTCCTGGTCTAAAGCACTGACAACAGGCGCTAGTGGTTGCTTCTGATCACATTCAGGCAGGCATTTCCTAAATGCGCTGAGGGGCCAGAATTTGCTCCAGGGGCAGCGCAGGCCTCCCCTCCTTGGAGCAAACGCTTCATCTGTCAGCTGGCCTTGGGCTGTGGCAGTTCTTGGCTCCAAACAGATATGACCAAAGGATTAGAAAGAAGGAAGGTGAGGAGGGGAAGGATGGAGGAAAGAATGAGCAGGGAGAACAGAGCATTTTCTTGAGGAGGCAGCCCCACATCCTAACAAGGTTCTGTTTTTGGACCGAGCCACTCAGCATGGTGTGGTCAATTAACTAGTCAATCCTAAAGAAAATCAGTCCTGAATATTCATTTGAAGGACTGATGCTGAAGCTGAAACTCCAATACTTTGGTCACATGATTCAAAGAACTGACTCCTTAGAAAAGACCCTGATGCTGGGAAAGATTGAAGGCAGGAGAAGGGGATGAAAGAGAGTGAGATGGCTGGATGGCATCACCGACTCAATGAGTTTGAGCAAGTTCTGTGAGTTGGTGATGGACAGGGAAGCCTGGCATGCTGCAGTCCATGGAGTCGCAAAGAGTTGGACATGACTGAACAACTGAACTGAACTGAACTCAGTATGGGGGATCTTATTTCTCAGACCAGAGATCGAACCCGTGCCTCCTGCAATGGAAGCCTGGAGTCTTAACCACTGAACTGCCAGGGAAGTCTCCTAACAAGACTCTTTATGCAGAAGAGACTACAGGAGAACTGACTGGACAGAGAGGAGCTGCATAGATGAGCATGATCCCCCAGGAGGGAAGAACTAAGACAGCAGGCAAAGGAAGAAGGAAGCAGGGATGAGACATTTGTTTACACCTGCCCTGTCCAACCAAGCAGTGATTAGCCACACGAGGCTAGTCCACATCGAAAACTACACACCAGATTTCAGATTTAGCAAGAAAAAAATAAAGCACAATCTCTCATTAATAATTTCATACTATTACATATTGAAATGATACATTTGGATACATTGGGTTAAATAAAATAGGCAATGAAAATTAATTTCAGGGTTCCTTTTTACTGTTTTTTTAACGTGGCTGCCAGAAAACTGAAAACTACATGAGGCTCACATTTCCATCAGACAGTGATGGTTTACAGAGTTCCCACATGGCCGTCAGTTCCCTATGAACCCAGAACAGAGAAGCTGTTCGCTACATGGCCCAAAGTGGGTGAGCTGTGTGGATGGGGACAGTGGAGGAAGGGAACAGGCTGGATGGAGTGAAGACAAGGAAGCAGTGTACAGCAAGTTTTAGTGGTGAGTGTGACGGGGGAGTAATTCTTGGACAGACAATGGGTACGCCCACAGTGTAACAAGACAGGTGCTGTCCCCATTCCTTGGTTCGGATATCACGCCTAAATCCAGATCAAATCCTAGAACTTCAGATTGGAAAAAAAGAGCTTAAGAACTCATTCAACCCTCCTTCTCCCCACTCCTTTTACAGATGGGGAAATGGAGGCCCAGAAAGGAAAAATTAATAGCACAGAAAGGGGTACAGAGGGAATTTCCTGGCAATTCAGAGGTTAGGACTCGGCACTTTTACTGCCGTGGGCCTGGGTTTGATCCCTGGTCTGGGGACTAAGATCCTACAAGCCGTGCAGCACAGCCAAAGAAAAGGGGGTAGACAGAGTTTCCCTCAAAAATCCTGCTATTTTAAATTTGCAAAGAGCTAAAAGTCTGACCTTCCACATAGTTGCCAAATTTGGCCATGAAGTACACAATGCTTCTAAAGAGTGAGAAATGTGGACAGGAGGATGGAACAGAACCATCAGGTATTTCTATAGGTCAGTAATTCTTACTCCAGGGGTGATTTTTGTCCCCTGAGGGCATTTCGCAATATGGAGATATTTGGGGGTATTGCAACTGGGGAGGGGGGCTTCTACCAGCATGCAATGGGTTAGAGGCCAGGGATGCTATTAAACAACCTACAACGTACAGGACAGCCCCTCACAACAAAGAATCATCCAGCCATCAAGTATCAACAGTGCCAAGGTTGAGAAATCCTGCTCCAGGTGAAATTACAATAGTGCTGTTTGTCCCAGAGCACAACACACACGTGGAGGATGAAAAGGAGGGGGCTGTTATGAACATCTCCTAAACCCCTCCTTAGGCAGGTGTGGAGCACTGGGTGTGCCTATAAACAGAGAACAGCATGCTGAACACTGGAGGAAGGGGGGAATGTGGCCCTGTGTCTACAGCCAAGAAGTGGCACTATCTCAAGAGAAAAAGGGCACTGCCTAAAACCCACTTCCTGGAATCTTGGCTCTGCTGCTCACACTGACGGGGTCCAAGCTGATGTTGCCTCCATGTCAAGGTCCATGAAGTGAGATAATGATTCTAAAATATCCTGATGCTCCAACCAAACTAATTTTGAAAGACTCTGTGAAAATGTGCTCCTGAAATCTTTATCCTCTGAAGTGCTTCTGAGCAAGATGGACTCTGGGGACTTTCCTGGCAGCCCTGTGGTTAGAACTCTATGCTTTCACTGAGGAGGGCCCGGGTTTGATCCCTGGTTGGAGAACTAAGATCCAACATGATGCAAAGTGCAGCCAAAAAAAAAAAAAAGATGGAGTGTGAACCCTAAAGAACTGAGCCCAGTTATGTAGCAAGAGCTTGTGAAAAACAAAGTTCTTGGGAATGGAGTTTGGCTCAGAAAAATCGAGGTTTGTGGCCGGAAGTGGCCATAGAGGTTATCTATTTCAATTATAAGAACAAGCAGAGATCCAGAAAGTCATGAGGTTACAAAGAAAGTTCCTTGATATTAATTTCTATTATCAATAAATTGAACATTGAGCTACCTTTTTCAGGGAATTAATGGACTCCATCTCTGAGGATTAACATCCTTTCTGAACCCACCTCTTACAACTGAGCCTGCTGTAGTGAAATTCTCAATTTCTATCTCATAGCTTTCACAAGACACTAGTTTTTGTGTAGAAATATCAATCTGAACTTCTCAATGTCGACCTGTCCTAATGTCTTTCCTCCAAGCTCTCTCAGTCTTTGGGGTCAAGGGACTTTTGCTAGCCAAATGTTTGAGTTCCTCCACCCACAATCTATACCTGTGGGATGAGACAGGGGCAGGTTACACCTGGTTTTGCATCTGATTTCTCAAGGAAAAGAGAGACACTGCCCTAGGAAACAAATTGAATCCTGAATTTGAGGACACGGGGCAGATGTGAGGAGCAGAGAGCCACAAGAATGAGAAGGCGGCCTGCGATCACTCCATATGCAGGAGAGCAATTTTCCCACAGGTCAGGGTACAGAAGGTGAAGGGCAGAGAGCACGGGGATCTAGCGCCGAGGGCAAGGCTCCCAAAGAAGGCCCCAGAGTGGGCAGATCAGTGCCAGCAGGTGGGAAAGCTCCTGGGAAGAGAGCTATCGAATCGAGGGAGTTGCATCAGGCAGGCAGAGATCAGACAGGCAGAAATCAGGCAAGCTGGAGCAGTCAGGGAGACTTCATCGAGGAGGGAGAGGGTGTCCGGAGGCTCCTGGAGGCGGCGCGGCCCCAGGGAGCTGCCTCACCTGGGGCCCCGCCGCCGCGTTCTGGGCCGCCGTCTCGGCCCGCGCAGCCCGGGCACAGCTCGCCAGTACCACGAACCCGGAAGGGTCGCCGGGCGCGGCCTCCACCAGGGCCGCCTTCACAGACGTGGTACCCAGGTCGATGCCGAGAGTGACAGATCGTGCAGCCATGACAGCGTCCGCGCCAGCACCCTTCACCCTGGACCTAGGCGCCGAGGCGGGCCCTCGCCTCCCAATCTTTCCAGCCACGCCCAACACACAGAATTCTCGCCTTCCCATTGGTTGAGGAGGGCGGAGTTCCGTGCACTCCGCGCGACGGGCCCCAGTTACAGGCGGAGCCGCGGGGAAGACCGGACCTAAAGGTCCCGCCCCGCAAGGCAGGGTGTGCAATGTTGGCCGAGGCTTCAGCTTCGGTCTCCAAAGTATCTCGGAGTTCGCGGACAGGCCCTAGAAGATTTGATAGCCCCTGTGGCCCTAACAGTGACTTAGCCCTCCCATATACCCTGCCAAGTTGCCTGAGCCCCTCCGTTCCTTACCAACCCCCAGGTGTCTCACTGCGAACCGGGGAAACTACAGCTCCCAGGTTGCATCGCGCCGAGGCCCGTAGTCCGCGAATCAGGCGGCTCGGGTCAGGTGACTTCTGGCCAGCCCGCACAGTATGTCAAGTCGGCCCCGGGAAGCGGGTACAGTCAGAGAAGACTGCCGCGTTCTATCTGATGAGTGACCTGAGCCTAGAGGACCTCAGGTGAGAGCCGACGCGGCCCCGACAGCCTCCCCCGCCTTCCCCGCCTCATTTCCCAGGCGGACCCCCTGAGGTCCAGAGACACAGCCAGTCGACTGGGCAGCCTGCCGCGCATCCAGCCTCCCTCAGCCGCGCCAGGGTTCCTTCACCGCCCACCAGTCCCGGCCTCTCGGCACCGGACAGCCCCCGGGTTGAAGGGCTCTGGTAGTAACGAGCGGAGGCAGGGGACACCGGGCTGCCAAGGTGGTTTGGGAGGCTCCGTTCCAGTGCAGGTTAGCGCCCCTTCCCCGCCTTCTGCTTAGTTGTCGCTTGAATCCGGTGGCAGTTTGCAGATGACTTTCCAGAGGGGAGACACTGAGAGAACAGACCACTTCAGGAACTCTTTTTTGAGGTGCTGAGCACCGGCCTGGGTTCCAAGGCGAGTGGGGCTAACGAAACCCGACTCTGCTCTCCGGGGCTTTCAGTCTGGAGGAAGCGAGGACTGTACTGGGCCCTGCCTCTTTTAACAATATTGAGGAAAATAACAACGTAGGCCTTGTGAGAGCTTGCTAAGTGCCCTCGACAAGGGTTGTATTTATCAATCCTTTAGAGCATTGTTTCTCAACCGTTTTTTCTTACCAGCCTCTCCCTCTTGAAATTGTTAATACTGCTTATAAAAGGGCTATGGACTTCCCAGGTGGCTGGTGGTAAAGAATCCACCTGCCAATGCAGGAGATGCAGGAAATGTGGGTTCAGTCCCTGGGTGGGGAAGATCGAAATGGCAACCCACTCCAGTATTCTTGCCTGGGAAATCCCATGGACAGAAGAGCCAGGCAGGCTACAGACAGTCCATGGGGGTGGCAAAGAGTCAGACACAGCTGAGAACGCGCATGCATGCATGAAGGGGCCACAAATTGTGCTTCATTTTTCATCTACATCCTGTGATTTAGTTTCCACTGTCCGTTTTCACTTTAGGAAATTGGAGCTTGAGGAGGTCAAGTAACGCCCCAAAGTAGCCCAACTAATAAATGGGGAGCTCGGCTTCAAACCTGTGCAGTCAGTCTCCAGGACATACAATCCTTGCCACTCTCTGTATTCTCCAAGAGAAGACAATCTAGGGAGTTCAAGATGGTGGAACAGGTGACAGGATTAACCAGATACCTGCCCAAGTGGAGCTGCCTCAGGAGACCCTTGGCCCCAGGGAGCCCCGGGGAGGGGATTGGGAGTGGGAGACTTCTTGAAGCAGGTGGCATCTGGGGGAGGCCAGGAATATAGAACTCACATAGGAAGAGCGGCATGTCACACAGAGCCTATCATGATGAGACTCTCCGTTTCTACTGTGTAGCATTTGGAAGACACTAGTTTTTATGTAATTATTAACTTGATCTTTTTCAAACATTTTAATCAAACACATATCTCTCAAGGTCTCTCTCTCTCCTGATGTCTTTCCTCCCACATGTGTCAGCCTTTGGGAGCAGGGAACTTTTGTTGTCCAAGAGTTTGAGGTCCTCAGTCTACATTCCACTCCTGTGGAATGAAGGAGGAGCCAGTTAGGCCTGATTCTGCACGTCTGAGTCCTCAAAGAAAACCCAGAATCTGCCCTGGGAAACAGACTAAACCCTGAGCTTGAGGACATCAGCAGGTGTGGAGAGCAAAAAGTGGCAAGAAGAGGTTGGCCGGGGGGGGGTCATTCCACATAGACCAGAGAGCAGTTTCCTGCAGGTCAGGGTACAGAAAGCAGAGGAGCAGGGAGCATGGGGATACAGGGCCAAGGACAAGGCACCCAGAGGAGGCCAGAGAGTGGGGAGACGGGTGTGGAAGGTGGGAAAGCTTCTGTACACTGAAGCAGCATGTAGAAACCAAGTTATGGATATTTACGCTGATCTGCCCCATCTTGACCTTTGGTTCACCTCTCATGCGTGGGGCTTATGGGTACACAGCAACCCATCTCCTTCACTTAACCAATAAACTGCTCAAGGACTGATCTGGGGTTTGTTCCACACCAGGTCCCCTTTGTCAGTGATCCCTGCCAGTCTCAGAAAAGTGACACCTGTCAAATGAAAAAGTCCTAATCAAGGGTCTGTTGGTGGCACTAACCTATAGACGCTTCTCCCAGGACAGGAAATAAAGTTAATTTCCTTAAGGTTTGGTGCTTCCCTGGGGGCTCAGTGGTAAAGAATTCGCCTGCCAATGCAGAAGACAGGGGTTCGATCCCTGATCCGGGAAGACCCCACATGCTGCAGAGCAACTAAGCCCATGCACCACAGCTATTGAGCCTGTGCTCGAGAGCCCAAGAATTGAAACTGTTGAGCCCACATGGTGCAACTACCAAAGCCCCCTCACCCTAGAATCTGTTCTCCACAACAAGAAAAGCCACCACAATGAGAAGCCCACACCCCGCAACAAGAGAGTAGCTCCTGCTCACTGCAACTAGCAGTGAAGTCCCAGCACAGCCAAAAATAAATAAAGCTATTTAAATAAAAAAAATTTCCTTAAAGTTTATAGGTTCATGGAGTCAAATATCTGACTACAGTTTTAATATCTTCTGAAAAATAAAAAAGAACCCCCAGGCAATACGGCTGCATGTTTCTTTCTGTTGTCTAGGTTGCACAAAACAGTTGAAGAGGGAAAAATTCAGCATTTGTCCACTTCCTCAGGGTAGGGCCTTACACAACCCACTGAGCCTCTCAGAGCCCATTTCCCCACATATCAAAGAAAGACAGATCCTCTCTGGGGTCCTCTTCTCCAAGCTGGTGATGCAAAGCCTGTGAGGTCACAGGTGTGAAGTGAAAGTCCTTTATGAACTGTCCATGCATGGTGCCAGGTGGCTTATTGTCCACTTGTTGCTAGGCAGATCCAACTTTAACCTGAACTTCTCTTGCTCTTTATGTTTCTTCCTAGTTCACTGAAATCGAGGAACATGATAAGGAGGTGGCTGGTTATTTTTATCCTTTTCCCCCTGCAGCTCATAGAGAAATGTGGTAAGTCTAGAAATGGGTTATCAGCTGTGAGGGAAATGGAGGAAGTAGCCTCCTTAATTGTTTGCAGCCAAAGGTTTAGGATCATCCAGACAGTATGTGTCCACCTGCCCCTTGGCTGGGTGGCCACCCAGGTAGTAGAACAGACCAAGGTCTGGAGTCCAGGAGTTTTACAGGGAGCCTGATGGTTCACAGATAATTCACCTTCTGCCCTGGGGGCCCTCTTCCCTTTTCTGTGTCACCAATGTCAAACTGTGGAGCTCCAAAAATCTGGGATAATGTCTGTAGAGAAGAGCTTGTGTTCCACCCCATGGACCTCACAGAGGGACTTATGGGTCCTGGGAGATGCTGCAGAAGCAGCTGAGGTGGCCACCTTGTTACCCGGTTCTGCCAGTAAAAACACCTGAGGAGCCTGCCCCGCATCCCCTGGTAAGATTACAGAGCCCTTCCCTTAGAGAAGGACAGAGGAACTGGGCTCAGCAGGGCTAGGGGCCTTACAGAATCTGGGCTGGTTGTTGGAAAACATATCAGGGTTTGTGTATCCTTGTGAGGCGTGACCTTCAGGGCAGGGCCCTTTAAAGGCTTGTATCATACCATCAATTTTCTATTGCCCAAACATTGCTGAAATTCTTTCCGTGAAAGCTGTGTAAAGCCTCCAAGGACACCAGACCCATTATTTTGATCATCTGGCTGTTGTCAAAAATCAAATACAGGGACTTCCCTGGCAGCTCAGTGGTTAAGAATCCACAGTTCCATTACAGGGGGCATGGGTTCGATCTCTGGTTGGGGAACTAAGATGCTGCATGCCACTCAATGAGGCCAAAAAATAAATGAAAATAATTTTTAAAAAGTACATCTTGGGAGTTCCCTGGTGGTTAGGACTCCATGCTTTCACAGCCAGGTGCCTGGGTTCAGTACCCAGCTGGAGAACTAAGATCCCATGAGCTTCACAGTGTGGCCAAAAAAAAAAAAAAAATCAAATACATTTTAAAACCTCCAACCAAAGTTTCCAAATTAACCTTGCACAAACTGCAAACCCTTGCCGAAGCTTGCCAAGAGCTATGCACAGTGGTTCCACTGCTAGTCATTTGGGCTCTTGAATCTCTGAGCAAACACTGGTCATCTGATCAGCTCTTCCAGGTTTGTTAAACAATCAGTCATGTTACTTTGCAGTCACACCTTGTGGGGAAGGTGTGACTTGTGGGGAATTGCTTGTGGGGAAGCAATTTCCGAGAAAGAAGAGGTTTCTTCCAAGAAAGAAAGAACACCGTGGAGCCCAGTGCTCTTCAGTACGGATGCCAGAGACCCAACTCCAGACCTGCTGGGTCATATTCTCTGGGACTAAGGCCCAAAAGTGTGCATGCATGCACATTGGCTTGCTTTAAATAAAGTTCCATTAGTCATGCTAATTCATTGCCCTCAGAAAGAAGAAAAAATTCAGCTGCTGCTACTAGATTATACAGAGGGCTAACAGGCCCAGAGAGGGTAGAAGTCTCTCCCAAAGTCACACAGCCACAAAGTAATGAGACTGGGACCCCTGCTGCATTGTGTCACTGAGTCTTTTTTCCTAAATGTCATAAAGGAAAAGTCAGAAACCACCATAAAATCAAGGAGCTAGAATTGGCTTTCTGACTTCATTCTGCCCTGCCTGTCTTTGCTTTGGGGAGTGGTCAGGAAGCTGACTCAATGGAAAAGACTGATGCTGGGGAAGATTGAGGGCAGGAGAAGGGGGCGACAGGATAAGATGGCTGGATGGCATCATTGACTCAGTGGACATGATTTTGAGCAAACTCCAGGAGATGGTGAAGGCCAGGGAAGCCTGGCGTGCTGCAGTCCCTGAGGCTGCAAAGAGTCAGACTGGACTGAGTGACTGAGCAGCAGGGAGGACCTACGGTGAGCTCACTCACCGGCGGGGTTTTTCGCCCCTGCCGGCTGTGGGCGGAATCTCGGAGTGCTGCCACCTACTGGCAAGGACCTGAGCCCTGGACCGGAAGCCGCCCTAGGTTTGCATCCTGCCTCTACCATTTCTGAGCTGTGTGGACACGACACACAGAATCCCCCCTTGGGATTCTCTGTTTTCTTCTGTCTGCAGTAGGCGTCACGTTGCCCACCTCTCACTGGTGTAGTAATTAGAGAGCGGCAGTGGCTGGTGTGGAGTGGGAGAGATGCCAATGAGGATTCCTTTTTAAAAAGCAAAGGCTCTTGGAGGAGCCTTCAGGGAGTCTCATTTGATTATTTCAGTGTGGTATCCAGAGCCTCCTGCCCCGGGGCAGACTCTAAAACATGCTTTTCTAGGATTCTATATGATGCCAGCTTCCTAACTGCCTCCCATCTTGGGCTAAAAGATGTCCTTTGAGGACAGAGCCTGTATCTGCATCCACATGTGGGACTGGCAGGGAAAAGGTGGCTCAAGTAGAGTCTGAGAGGGCTCAGAGCCAGGCCCCAGAGTGTGAGTTTCAGGCTGGCCAGTTCCCTTGTGGGAGATGAGTTTACTCTTCCTTTTCCCTGCCTCTTCCCCATCTGCCTCCCCCACTCTGCCACTGGCCCAGGTGTCCAGCCAGAGGAAGAGAAACTGCCAGGAAGGAGTATTGAGAAGGAGCTCAGACAGTGGAGGTCAAATTAGGGAACTTTTAAATTCCTTCCCAACCTGAGCATCTAAAATTTCATTTCTTCATCTTCTGCCTTTGAGGGGTCTGGGGAGGGGAAGACCTGGGCTTCACCTGCAGCCACGGCCCCCCGGAAGGAACCATATTCATCAAATGGAACACCTGCTTTGCCCTGTGGGCCCCCTTCCTGGCCCAGTCTAGATTCACGATCACACCTTAGGCTGTGAGTCACCCTGAAGCCCCCCAGGTGAGGGAAGTGAAGTAGACACACCTGTGGTGGGGGCAGGGATGGGGCGGTGCTGCCCGGAGAACCCAGGAAGAGTCCAAAAGACGGTTAACTCCTGTGCCCAAATTGCCCTGAAGTGTTTGGCCTCCCAAACCTACTTCCTCCTTCACCCCAGAGGCCTGTCTGTCTGCCTCCTCCTGAGTTAACATCTTAATACCAAGAAGAAATCTCCGGTAGTGAAACTCTGTGTTGTTCATCAGTCTCCCCCAAGTCCCCAGCAGGGCCAGCCTCCAGAAGGGGATCAGTGAATAGGGTGAGCTGGGCTTTTACAGGGAACCAAAGGCAGTTCTTTAGAAACAAGTTAACTGGGCCACAGGTGTCTCTCTCAAACTACAGGAAGGGGCAGGACTGGTTCTGCAGGGTCGTTTTAGCTCCACAAACAGAGGAAACCCTTGTGCTTTCCATCTGAAGAGGTGGTTTAAGCCCACGTGTTCTAGTCCCAGATTGTGGCTGAATTCCTTTGTGACCAATTTTTGGGCTCCATGGTTTCTATTTCTGGGTGACTCCTGCAGACCATTAGAGCTCATCTGTGGGGGAGGAATAAGCTTCAGCATCTCCTGGTCAGGCCTGTGTCTCCCTCTGTCTCTGGCAGCAGGAGGAGAAAGTGCATAAAGAGGGCATTTCCTGGCCAGTCACATACTTAGCTTCTTAGAACCTCAGGAGTCTTCACCTAGGGGATAGAGGTGGTTATGAAGCATAAGTTCAAGTGTCAGGGCCCCTCCTCCCAGTGTCTCGTGGGCCTGAGCTCACAGTCATAATGACTCATGTTACTGATTTGGGTTGTTTCAGAGTCAACAGTTGACTTCTCTGTACCTCCCATCGTGAAGCTGGAAAACGGAAGCTCCACCAGCGTCAGCATCTCCCTCCCGTAAGTTTCCCAGGCCCAGCTCTGTCCCACAGCTGGGTCAGGGCTGACCCCTGCTCACTATATTCATATTTGAAGTGTGATGCCCTTACCTCTTCACATTAAGACAAGCCAGGGAAAGACAGACAGTGGCCCTGGGCTGCAGATCGAGGTCCCAAGGTCTCTCTCCCCCGCCAACAACTGATGAAACCTTGTTTCTGGTGGGAGGGGGAAGACACATGAGCCTTTTTCTTAGCTCCTTGAGTGACCAGTAGTTGATGCTGGACTTCAAAGCGGTCCTTTGCAAGGCTCTAAATATTTGAAGAGAGTCCTGAAGATTGCTAGTGGAGGTGATGGAATTCCAGTTGAGCTATTTCAAATCCTAAAAGATGATGCTGTGAAAGTGCTGCACTCAATATGCCAGCAAATCTGGAAAACTCAGCAGTGGCCACAGGACTAGAAAAGGTCAGTTTTCATTCCAATCCCAAAGAAAGGCAATGCCAAAGAATGTTCAAACTGCTGCACAATTACACTCATCTCACACACTAGCAAAGCAATGCTCAAAATTCTCCAAGACAGGCTTCAACAGTATGTGAACCTTGAACTTCCAGATGTTCAGGCTGGATTTAGAAAAGGCAGAGGATCCAGAGATCAAGTTGCCAACATCTGTTGGATCCCTGAAAAAGCAAGAGAGTTCCAGAAAAACATCTACTTCTGCTTTATTGACTATGCCAAAACCTTTGACTGTGTGGATCACAACAAACTCTGAAAAATTCTTAAAGAGATGGAAATACCAGGCCACCTGACCTGCCTCCTGAGAAATCTGGAGGTCAGGAAGCAACAGTTAGAACTGGACATGGAGCAACAGACTGGCTCCAAATCAGGAAAGGAGTATGTCAAGGCTGTATATTGTCACCCTGCTTATTTAACTTATATGCAAAGTACATCATGCGAAATGCCAGGTTGGATGAAGCACAAGCTGGGATCAAGATTGCTGGGAGAAATATTAGTAACCTCAGATATGCAAATGACACCACCCTTATGGTAGAAAGTGAAGAAGAATTATAGGGCCTCTTGATAAAATGAAAGAGGAAAGTGAAAAAGTTGGCTTAAAACTCAACATTCAGAAAATGAAGATCATGGCATTCAGTCCCATCACTTCATGGCAAATAGATGGGGAAACAATAGAAACAGTGACAGACTTTATTTTCTTGGGCTCCAAAATCACTGCAGATGGTGACTGCAGCCATGAAATTAAAAGATGCTTGCTCCTTGGAAGAAAAACTATGACCAACCTAGACAGCACATTAAAAAGCATAGGCATTACTTTGCAAACAAAGGTCCATCTAGTCAAAGCTATTGTTTTTCTAGTAGTCATGTATGGATGTGAGAGTTGAACTATAAAGAAAGCTGAGCACCGAAGAACGGATGCTTTTGAACTGTGGTGTTGGAGGAAACTCTTGAGAGTCCCTTGGATTGCAAGGAGATCCAACCAGTCAATCCTAAAGGAAATCAGTCCTGAATATTCTTTGGAAGGACTGATGCTGAAGCTGAAACTCCAGTACTTTGGCCACCTGATGTGAAGAACTGACTCATTAGAAAAGACACTGATGCTGGGAAAGATTGAAGGTGGGAGGAGAAGGGGACGACAGAGGATGAGATGGTTGGATGGCATCACCTACTCGATGAACATGAGTTTGAGTAAACTCTGGGAGTTGGTGATGGACAGGGAGGCCTGGTATGCTGCAGTCCATGGGGTCTCAAAGAGTTGGACATGACTGAGTGACTGAATTGACTGACTGACTGGAGGTTGGGAGAAGGAGCTGAGTCACTTGGCAGCACTTTCCGAGATGACCTCCAGCTCCCTTGGGTGGATCCCACTGTGCAGTGCTCCCAGTCAGCCTTATCTGAGAGTCTTTCCAGCTGCCCTCTGCTGGTTCCCGCACAAGGGTGCCCACCTAGTCCAGATTGTGCCAGAGAACCCACCTCCTCCTTACCCTTCCCTGCTTTCCCCAGCTTGTGCCTCCCAGCCATGAGGATGCCCCGAGATGAAGATCTGGAACCCTAGTTTTTTGGGGTTTTTTTTCCTCTTTACCCTTCTCCCTTTTCCTCACCTCTCCTAGGATGTCTGATCTTAAACCAGAGCTTTGGGACCAAAGCGTCCTAACAGACCTGCATCCCGTCCCCAGATGCTGCCACTTCTGCACACTGACACCTTGTAAATACAACACATCGTCCTCCTTAGCACAGAATCCTTGAGCAGCTTCCCACCCCTTTCCAGATTAACTCCAGGCCTCTAAACCCAGACTTGAGCCCCACAGGCTGTTCCCACTCAGACATGTCTCACCACTTTCTGGGGACGCTGCCTGGCCCTTCTCGGAAGTCTTTCCCAGGAGAGCAAATGCCATGGTCCTGTTGGCCTCTGAACACCTCATGTGACATTCACAGACTATTTCCCATTAGCTGTGTTCTCACTTGGGCAAAGGGACCCCACCTCTCAAGCCCCCAGGGCTAAGCACATAGCCCTAAGTCACCCTAATTGCCTGAGATATGCCAGGCCCACCACAAAATCCAGAGGGCAGGTTGAGACCTCAAGGAGTCCAGCTTCTCAGCAGTAACTAGATTCTTGTCCCCCACAGGTGCCCTTTAAATGCAACCTTGGTGATCACTTTTGAAATCACATTTCGTTCAAAAAACGTTACTATCCTTCAGCTCCCTGATGAAGTAAGTAATGAATCTTAACAGAATGGCTAGAAAATGACTAGATAACAAACCACATTTTGACTAAGTGCTTGTGGAAGTAGGTCACCTTGTTTTTATACCAGGGGCTACCCCTGACTTGTTGTTCTAGAAATCTCTGATTTGGGGCTTTGTTAGTCTCTTTGACAATGAATGTTTTATGCTATCAAGATGGAATTATTAAGATGATGGTAAAAAATATGAGGCAGAAATGATTCTGAGAATGTAGAAGAAATTCTAAAGATGGTTTTTTTTAAGACTTTGCTCCTCAGAGAGCATCCATGGATCAGTCTCTGCTCTAAGACTTTTTTTTAATTTTATTTTTAATGGAAGTATAGTTGATTTACAGTGTTGTGTTAGTTTCAGGTATATGTACAGCAAAGTGATTGTTATATATACACACGAAGATATATTCTCTTATATATATTCTTTTTCAGATCCTTTTCCCTTACAGGTTATTACAAAATATTTAATATAGTTCCCTGTGTTATACAGTAGGCCCTGGTTGGTTATATATTTTGTATATAATACAATACTGTGTATATGTTAATCCCAGACTCCTAATCTATCTTTCCCCCTTAAAACCTTTTAGAAATGCCCCATCACAGACCTACTGATTAAAAATCTGCATATGAGTAAGAGTCCCCAGGTGATTTGAGTCCACATTAAAGTTTGCAAAGCTCTCTTCTGGGATTCCATTGGTAGAGTGCCTGGAAAAACCAGTGCCAGAGGCTGTCTGGCATAATAATAATAACTTTTTATAGCCTTTATACATTAATCTTTTAATAAACACTGCTTCCACCTTAGGGAGGATTTGAGCCAATTACCAGTCAACTTAATTTAAAGAAAAAAAATCAGTAGGGAGGGGAAAAAAAACAGATGAGAGATAAACACAGGAACGAAGATAAACACAGGAATGTAGCCCTGAGGCTCAGCAGGAGGCACTGAGTGATTGTAGAAATGGGCTGCAAATCTGCTCTGAGCCCCTGAGCAAGCCAACAGCATTGACACATGATCAGATACAGGTAGATGCCTAGTTCCAGAAGGGACTTGGTGGCCACTTAGAAACAGACAAACAATGTTGCCAGCAAAACCTGCTAAAAGTAAGAATTGATGAAGATAGGAAAATAAAAGAGCCAAGAGCAGTATGCTTTGTGAAAATGAAGCTCACAACACACTGGCCACAAATTGGATCCCAGGCTTTGCAGCAGCCACTTGCATCATTTCAATTGTCCTACCAAAGCCCCCTGATTTCAGGGGTTACGAGCCGAAAGATATGTTCAAGGGTCCCTGAAGAAGCCACTACAACCCAGTGAGCCACATCATGGTGCCCACGACATGGGTGGAAGGTGGGGCCCGGGCACAATCCAGGGAACAGAGAGATGGGAGTAGGGGGACAGTGTGAGCCAGTGAAAGTCTCATCCCGCTCGCTGCCTCACTGAGAATTCGAGAGCAGCAGGAGGCATGATGGGGAGGTCAGATACTACAGGCAGGCCGAGCAGAGCTTTTGATGAAGATTGGACAGAAATGAGAGTAAAGGTGTTCTCCCTGCAGTGTCTGATGTGTTGCACCTCTTCTGGTTTGTCTCTTGGCAGCCAGGCTGGGTGTGGGGCAAACATCCTCTGTGGATCTGGAAAAGCCATCCACAGTAAAGGAAGTGGAGTTAACAGCAGTCATCATAGGGTAGTAGTGATGGTAAACAGTTCACCACTTGCTGTGTCAGTGCCATAAGCTTTATGGACATCACATCATTCAGAGCAACCCTGTAAGGTAGACTTTTGTGTTATTCCCTTTTACAGATGAGCAAACTGAGATCAGAGCTCAAATAACTTGTCCAAAATAAAATATCTAGTGAGAGGAAGAGAGCCCTCCCACCTTCCCTCAGAAATAAGCCAGGGGAGGACCCTTCTGCTCATAAAGTCTAACACTGGAGTAGGGGGAATTCTGGTTAGCTGATTGGCCCAATATTTCTCCCTCCTGTTAAGAAGCTCCTAGAAGGCAGGGGCTTGTGTGACCTGTCCCTCCATTCCCTAGCGAATAGCTTGGAGCTGGACGTTCACTAAGGTCCCAATAACTACGGGGCTCTGGACCTGATTCAGTTTTCTAACAGGTCGTGGTGCCTCCCGGAACGACAAATACCTCTTTTCGAGTGACGTCTCAAAGTGTTGGACAAGTTACCGCTTATCTTCATGGAAATCACTCCAACCAGACCAGGTAGGTTGGCCTCCGCCGGCGTGGGCCCTAAAGGATGAGAAGGGAGCCAGTGCCGGCGCGAGGGCTTTCCTCCAGACACCCAGCCCCAGCTCATCCCGGTCCCCACGTCCTCTCTAGCCCAAGGATACGCTTCTTGGTGATCCACAGCAACGTCGTCAGCATCATCAACCAGGTGATCGGCTGGATCTACTTTGTGGCCTGGTCAGTCTCCTTCTACCCTCAGGTGATCACCAACTGGAGGCGGAAAAGGTAACCCACAGAGCTTTACAAGCAGGTTCACCTGGGGCCAGTAGGAGGAGCATTCCAACGAAGCTGTAGGCAGCCTGGGTTCCGACCTATCCCTCTGCTCTTCTGTCTTCCTACCCACCCCCGCCTTTTTTTTTTTTATTTTATTTATTTTGGCTGCACTGGGTCTTTGTTGCTACACATGGGCTTCTCTCTATTTGCGACAAGTGGGAGCTACTTTGTTTTAGTGCTCAGGCTTCTCATGTTGCTGAGCACAGGCTCTAGAACTCTCTTCAGCAGTTGTGGCACATGAGCTTAGTTGCTCCTTGGCATGTGGAATCTTCCTGGACCAGGGATCGAATCCATGTCCCCTGTATTGGCCGGCAGATCCTCATCCACTGTACTACCAGGGAAGCCCCTGCCCTTTTTTTTTTTCCATTTATTTTTATTAATTGGAGGCTAATTACAGTATTGTAGTGGTTTTTGCCATACATTGACATGAATCAGCCATGGATTTACATGTGTTCCCCATCCTGAATCCCCCTTCCATCTCCCTTCCCACCCCATCCCTCTGGGTCATCTCAGTGCTCCAGCCCGAGCATTTGTCTCATGCATCCAACCTGGACTGGCAATGTGTTTCACACTTGATAATATACATGTTTCGATGCTGTTCTCTCATTAGTATATGTGCTGCCGAAGCGAGCACCCCTGCCCTTTCTTCAAAGGGGTCTGATGTGAAAGTTCTAAGAGCCCATGTAAGAGCTGCAGTGCTGGGCATTTGGTCTCTTGCCCAGTTCAGCCCCACTCTCTGAAAGCAATCAAATGGGGCTTCTCAGTTGAGATGGAGAAGGGGCTAGGTAGGGGGGTTCACCCACAGCTGCTGTGCTCCTGGTCCCTGCAGCCCTGGGGGAGTTCGTGTCTGGTTGGAGAAGAAAGTTGACCCACCTTGATTTTAAAGACCCAGGCTTCAGGCATAAGCCAACAAGGCACATGGGCCTCTGAGGGGCTGCTGAGCTGGGAGCCAGGGTGGGAGGCACTTAGTCTCTGCAGGAGGCCTCCAGACAGTCCCAGGAGGAGGAAGAGGTCAGATGGCATGGGGTGGGCGTGGAGAAGAACTGAGGACTGTGCTCTCCTTGGGGAGCCAGGCCCTCCTCCCGAGATGCTGGGAGCTCTGTGCCCTCCAGGCCCCAGCGGCCCCCAGTCTCACCCCCGACCCTGCTTTGTCTCCCCACCCCTCTCCCCTAGTGTCGTGGGTCTGAGCTTCGACTTTGTGGCCCTCAACCTGATGGGGTTTGTGGCCTACAGCGTGTTCAACATCGGCCTCTTCTGGGTATCCTCCATCAAGGTACAGCCCTGCCTGCCCCCGCAGCCTCACCAAGCTGGCTGGTGGCCAGGCTGCCCCTCACCCCCCAGCTTCTCCCCAACCCCACCCAGGAGCAGTTTCTCCTCAAATACCCCAACGGCGTGAACCCCGTGGACAGTAATGACGTCTTCTTCAGCCTGCACGCGGTCGCCCTCACCCTGGTCGTCATAGCGCAATGCCTCCTGTATGAGGTGAGCCACGACCCTGGCCCCTGCTGCAGCCTGGTGCCGCCCGGGCCCCCACCTGCCCTTTTCCACACGACACGGAAGCCCCCAGAAGGGAAATGTGTCCGTCCACTCACATCTGCTTCCTGGGTCATAGACCAGACCCCATGCTGGGCCCTGTGAGCCCAAACCCTCGGGCGCCCCCAGGTCTGCGGTGAGCGACACAGAGGGAGGCAGTGACGACCCAGCAGGCTGAGAGCTGAGCAGGCAAGGAGAACACGGGCAGTTTGTGGGACCCATGACTCAGCAGGGAGGAGGGGGACAGAGGGCGCTGAATTGTGATCCATGGGATGAATAATGTTCCGTGGTGACGGGGAAGAGGGCCAGGGTGGACCAGCCCTGCAGGGGGACAGACCTGTGAAGCCCAGGGTGCAGCTAGAGGAGCCGTGAGCAGGTGGGTGTGGCTGGGATGGCCGTGGAAGGAGCAGGAGGGGGAGCCTGGAGTGCCGAGCTGGGAGCCCGGGCACAGCTATGTCGCTGGAGGACCACCATCCACTGACTCAGCAGGGAAGGACGGTGTTAGTGCGTGTTTCAGGGCATCGTTGATGTCACTGTTCTCTTTCGCTGCCCTGTGGGTAGACCACTTCCCCTGGGGAGTTCTCTTCCCACCTGCAAGGTCAGCAAGGGTTGCTCGGCCCCGAACTTCACTAACCGTCTGGATTTTTTTACCCTTTGCTGAGAAAGTTATATGAAGGAGGCCTGCTTTGGGGAATGGTACACAGGTGGGGGAGAGGTTCCAGAGTTGAGCAGGCTCCCTCGGGTGGCTGAAGGAGCCTGGGCTGGGGTGAAGTGCCAGGCCTCCAACGTGATGGGGGCCAGGTCCTTGCATCCCTCACTGTTGGTAGGTTCTGAGAGGGACCCAGTTCTGCAGCGTGTGAACAAGAAGCAAAAGGGCTGTGCTAAGTCCAAGAGGGATGGAACCAGAGGCTTGATAGTGACAAGGTGTGGGTGGTACTGGGCTCTCCACACCCCACCCCCACCCCACCCATATCCCTCCCTTCCCTCCCTCCCTGCTTCTGATCCCCAGCGAGGCAACCAGCGTGTGTCCTGGCCAGCCATCAGCTTCCTGGTCCTCTCCTGGCTCTTCACGCTCATCGCCCTGATCATGGCTGCGGTTGGGGCAACCACCTGGCTGCAGTTTCTCTTCTGCTTCTCCTACATCAAGCTGGCAGTGACGCTGGTCAAGTATTTTCCACAGGTACCTCCGAGGTCTGCCCGCTGTTAGCATGAGAGGGACACGGATCTCTTGGGGGCAGCTTCTGACTGGGGCGAGGAGATATAGGTTGGAAAGCTACTAGGAGGAGGCCAGTGAGCCCAGCAGGAGTGGGACATCACACCAAGCCAGCCGTGACCTCTGCCTGCTCTTTCCCGGGCCCAGGAATCCCTGGGGAAGTTGGTGGCACTTCTCTGACACACTCAGCTCTGAGAGTCAGGGGTCATGTAGATCACTCTCATCTCTCTCCTTTGCCACCTTTCTAATGACTTCAATCTTGCCCGCCACCCTACCACCGCTGCCCATGACCATCAACTGATGTCCCTGACAAGCCACAGCAGGATGCTGGGGAGATGAGCCGGGAGGAGGCGGCCCCCCCAGCACCCAGGGTCCTCCCTGTGGGCCCTCACACCCTCCCTCGAGTGCTCAAGACAATCCTACTCAGAGTCGGGGACTGAGAGTCACACACGGCTTCCGCCACAGCCAGAATGGCCTAGGACCAGTTCAGGTATGAAAGAACTGACAACCACAGGCTCTACTCATGAATCTGGGGCCTCATTTAACCCACTTCCCCAGCACAGGGAACCTTTTGTTCCAGAAGGTTCAAGAAGGAGAACATTTTGGCCAGAATCTCAGGGCCAGTCCCCTGGAGGGCATGGAAACAGAGCCATACCCTTAAGGATCAGCAGGACTCAGTTCCATGGACCGGGGAGAGGGGCCGCTCCGGGCCAGTGCATTCTGCACAAAGGCACTGTCGGAGGAGGCCTTGCAGGTGGAGCAGTGTGAAGCTAGGAAGGTGGGATCGGGGCCCAGGGGGCTTGGGAAGGAGGCTTCAGAGTAGGGGAAGGGCCTGGGGGAAGTAGGGCCTCAGTCCTGAGTGTGGGAAGGCTTGGGCCTGGGAAACCTGGGAGGGAGGAGCCTGAGTTGGAGATGTCTTGGACCATCCAGGACTGGAGAGGTGGCAGCAAGCATGAAGGTTAGTGGGAGAGGCCAAGAAGGGGGCCTGACAGGTGGCTGCTGGGAGAAGACCTGGAAGGAGTGATGTCCAAGTGGACTGGACCTGCGAAGCCCAAGGTGGAGGCCCTAGAGCCTCAGCAGGGCTGGGGAAGGAGTGAAGTCCATGCTATAGGTGGGAAAACTAAGGCTAGGAGAATTCAAGTCACTCTCCCAAAGTAACACAGCTCCCATGGTGGAGCTGGGATTCCAAACTAGGTCATCGGACCTCCCAGGCTGTGTTCATAAGCCCAACATGAAGTCCAGGCTGAGTTTGGGGAGAATCTCCATTTGAAGGTGAGAAGAAACAAATCAGAGTTGCCTGAAAGCCAGGATATACAGTAGGATGAAGATGGAGAGAAAGCATCCACACACACCCCTCTCCCTCCCCCCATCCCCCTGGCTGGAGTGGGGAGTTTGGGAGGAGGAGAGCTCGGTTTGCTTGGCTTACAGAGGAGACTCCAGGACCTGCCCAGACTGTGCCCACAGCTCCGAAACCAAAGGTCATTGTGTTTTGGGGGCTGAGGTCCAAACAGAGGAGTGGGAGGCATGAGAGCCGCTCTTGTTTGGACATAGTCACACGGTGCAGGAGGCCGCCTCTCAGCCCCCTCACTGCCCTCTGTCTGTCTGGCCCAGGCCTACATGAACTTTCACTACAAAAGCACCGAGGGCTGGAGCATTGGCAACGTGCTTCTGGACTTCACTGGGGGCAGCTTCAGCCTCCTCCAGATGTTCCTGCAGTCCTACAACAACGGTAAGTCAGCCAGCAGGCTGCTGCCCACCTGGATGGCTGGAGGTGCAGGACGGTGGGGGCGGGGCTTCCTGGGAACCACCACTCCCCCACTCTGGAATCCTAGCCAGTCCCAGGCCCCTGGGTGAGGTTCACCGAGGGGGCATTTCTAAATTTACTTGGCTGTCTGTTCGTGGCCTTCCCAGGTGCGGCAATGATAAAATATCAGCCTGCACTGTAGGAGACCTGGGTTTGACCACTGGGGTGGGGAGGAGGAAATGGCCACCCACTCCAGTATTCTTGCCTGGGAAATCCCATGGACAGAGGAGCCTGGCAGACTGCAGTCCATGGTGTTGCAGGAGAGTCACAACTGAGCACATGGCATGGTGTGTGATCTTAGTTCCCTAACCAGGGGTTGAACCCACATTCCCTGCATTGGAAGGTTTCTTAATCACTGGACTGACCACCGGGGAAGTCCCTTGCCTAGGGGATTTGGCAGCTAGAGGATTTGTGGTTTCCTGGGCAGAGGAGGGAACCCCCGCTCCACCATGGAGCCCCGCGTGCTGTTTGAGCAGCAGCCAACCTAAAACCACAACCCATCCCATCCCCTCTGGCTGTTTACAGACCAGTGGACACTGATCTTCGGAGACCCAACCAAATTTGGCCTCGGCATCTTCTCCATCATCTTCGATGTTGTCTTCTTCATCCAGCACTTCTGCTTGTACAGAAAGAAACCAGGGTATGACCAGCTGAACTAGCTCCCCGGGAACCAGTGGAAAGAGCCCAGGCCCAGGCCCTGGTGGGGAAGTTTCCATCAGGAAGGCTGGAGAAGCTGTCTGGAGAGCTGGGCTGGCTCCGTGTGGAGAAGCACTCTCTTCCTCAGGGCCAGATGCCTTAAACTTGAACCAGCCTGCCTTCATCCTGGACTCTCCCAGGCCAGGGAGGACCCTCCCTTTGGGATAGGCACCTTGACTGTGTGCAGAGATTAACAGCTGGCAGCCCCTCCTGGTCTCCCCAGAGGTCTTTTGCCCCGGGCCTTTCCAGTCAGGCACCTGGCCCTCCTGCATCTTGATGCTGCATCTCTGTTTTCTTTAAGGCTTCAGGCAGCACACAGGGCTTCTGGCAGCTGTCCCAGGCAGGACTGAGCCCTGAGCTTGGAGCTGAAGGCCTTGCCCCACCGCCCAAGCTACCAGTGTTTCTGGGAGCGGCTTGAAGGACTGACCTGGCAGCTGGGAGAGTCAAGGGAGCCTTGCTGCCACTGCTGTGTTCAGAGACAGAGCAGCCAGGTGTTGTGCCCGATAGACCCGGAGATGCTGGTGTTGTTGGCAGAGGGGCAAGGACTTTGGGGTTAGGCCTTGGGGCGCCTCCTCTGAAGGCTGCGTTCTCTGAGCACTCACTGTGTGGACACTCATCCTACATCCAGGTGGCCCCAGCCAGGCTCTTGTAAAGAACCAGTATTTCCAAACCTTGAGGTGCCCAACAGATTGGTTCGGAATCGAGCTCACATCCAGCTCTCTCCGGATCTTTATCACACTAACGAGCCATTTGGAATTTTTCAGAGGGATGCTTTGGAAGTGAGTGGCTTACTTTCTTCTGCCTCTGCCTACCTCCACTTTCCCATATTCGGGCCCCACACGTGCCCCTTACCTGTTTGGAGGACAGGACACACACATACACACATAGACACACACCAGTCTGTGCCTTAGAGGCATATTAGACCTGCCAAGTGGTGAGAGCAGCCCCCTTCCCTCACTTTCCCAGACTCCAACCTGAGACTCACCAACTTGTGGCTGTTCCAGAGCCTCAAAGGACTTGAGACCACCTCACACACTCCTTGTGGGCCCCGCCTGACCCCAGAGCCTCTCCCTTCCCACCCCAAGCAGTCGTCCTGCCTGTGGCAGCAGGGGAGGTAGATGTGCCTTGTCCATGCCTCGAGCTTGTCGATCCATGAGATGAACAAGGGGCTTCTGTCCTCAATTAAACCTGCTTCGTTTCCTCTCTGCACACTGAGCATTTGCCAGATGCAGGAGGCAGGTGTGTTGGCTTCTGAACCAAGTCCTTAGGGCTCAGGGAGACGGCCTCAGTCATTCCACTGTACGGAAACGCATGGCATTTCGAAGTTCACCAATCCCAAAATGGCTGTGTGCCAAACCCGTGTGTCACCAGGGGAGCCCTGCTGGGCGGCACTGTTGGATGCTCAGGGCCAGGCTGGTCCCAGAGGGACCATCTGCATGACCAAGGGCGTGGTAGTCTGGCTGTGTGGCCGTAAGCAAGGGCTGGATGCGTTCTTTAAGGGTATGTGGGAGAAGAGGCAGGGGAGGGGGTGGTAAATCTTCCAGATTCTTCCTCTAGCCTGCCATACTAAGTATCAAGGAATTTAGGAACTTGTTTCTCTAAAGCAGAAAGTGCAGCCTGACCAAGCCCACATGCCTGATTTATTTAGGCCACCCAGCGTGTGGTTGGGTAACACACTTTAAAGATGGGAGATTGCAAAAATCTGACTTGCCTGGGCTAGGTGGGTCCATGAGTGGCGGCAACTCCCAGAGCCAGTATTGCAACCAGTCCTGGGCCAGGCAGAGGGCACAGTGCCCCCCAGCTCACTCCCATCCCATCAAACCACAGCCTGTGTCCCTGGCATGGATAAAATGAGTTCTCTAATGTCTTATGGGATACGTGTCTGCCCTTGGTGTCCATGAGGCCCCTTCCCAATGAGAGCTGAGGCTAGGTTACACAAGGGTAGTGGGGGTCTCCCTGGTCCAGTTCCAGTGAAGGGACTCTCAGACATTCCCACAGAGCAGCCCTGGCCCAGTACAGCATCAGTGGGTTTGGGAATAGATATTTCACCAAGTATCCCTCCCCCCTGTCTCAGCAAAGACCCCTGATGAATGAATTCCAGCACTGTTTATTGGGCACAGGATGCAGGGCAGCTTCCCACTGCCCCATTTCCACAGTAACCAAAGTCAGGCCAGTGCCCTCACTAAGAGTAGCTCCCACGTGTGAATTAGTAAGCTTAAATTCCAAAGTTGAACTGGCACCTCCAAAGAGTGAGATAAAAAACACTTTGTATCAAAGCTGTGATTAAAAAAATATAAAAGTTAAACCCACAGGCATAGAGAAAAATGGCAATCCTGAAAACTGCCCTGAAATGTTACCCTCGTCTAAATCCTGTAAGCAGGTGAACCCTGGGGGAGGCCAGCGCCCCTTGGGGAGTGGGGGTGAAATGGGGTGACTTATGAGCCTGCATGGCTTCCATCCAGGCAGACCTTCGTAGTGTCTCTGGCAGTGAATCGAGTCCCCTCTAAGGAATGCAGGGGAAAGCATGGGGCACAGACATTGTGGAGCTGAGAAACGGGGGCAGGGCCAAGCCCTGTGCGTCTCAGCTACGAGGTGCTACCAGGAAGTGGGGCCCCTGACGGCCTGGGCACTACTGTGGCCAGGCAGCAGGGGCTGAGGGCCGAGACTGGTCACTGCAGACTGACTGTGACTCGGCTCCAGGCCCTGTTACCAGTCCTCAGCATCCAAGGGGAAGAGATGGTCCCAGAGCCTTGGGCCAGTGGTGGGAGAGGGGATCAGGCCGGGCCAGGGATCCGCTCTTGCCCTTCTGAGCAGGGATCCAGCAATGAGCAGAAGCCAGGACGAGAGACAGACAGAGCATGGAAGTGGTGTCACTGTACAAAGGGTGGCCAGGCTCGAGTCAGGGAGCCCGGCAGCTGCTAGGAGAGCATGGACTGCTGCACAGCCTTCTGCAGCGACTGCCGCGTCACCAGCAGACGCACCACCTCCTCCGAGCGCTTGGTGAGCCGCTTCCGCGCCTGGTCATGTGTGACCATGGTCATGTCCCAGCCGTTCACCTGGCCCAGGGAGAGAACACAGCCCACTTCAGGCCACTGCCTTCTGGGATCTGAAAACAGGACGGGCTTTGGGGGGCCTGGGTCACCCAAACTGATGTCCCTGGGCTGGGCACGTGCGCGCACACACACACACACACACACACAAGAGGGATTCAGCACAGGCTTCGATGCGTCTCCCAGGTGCCCAGGGCCGTAGGCAGGGGCAGCCCCACCACCCCCGAGGGCTTTACACCTTCCAGCCCAAGCCTTGTTTTCCTCCTTCGGGACACTGGTTACCTGCATGATCTTGTCCCCGATCTGCAGCCCAGCAATTTCCGCAGGGCCTCCTTCGGATACCCGTGTGACGTAAATGCCCTGGGAAGAGGCAGCCCACGTCAATCCCTGGGGTCAGTAGACTGGCCTCCCAGCCCTAGAGCAAAGCCCAGCAGAGCATACTCCTAGCCATCTATCCCACACCCAGCCCGTCCTAAGACAGCCAAGGGGGAAGTAGGACAGCCCCACAGACACTCCAACCCCTGCTGGCCACCTGGGCTCCGTCTGAGCAGGCCTTCCTAGTGCTGGGAGGCCCACTCTCCCCCACCCCACCCCTACTTACTCCCACCAGATCATTTCTTGGACCTTCGTTTTTTTTTTCTTGGACCTTCTTAAGAGAGGACCATTCGAGAGAGATGAGGTCTGCTCCTTCCACAAAGGCCCAGGAAGCAAACAGCCCACTGTCTCAGGCCTCTGTGCCCCACAGAGAGGTCCCCAGATCCTAGTCCAGCTCACCTTGTCTGTCTTATCTTCTGAGAAAGGGTTCTGGGAGGGATCCTGGTCAATTCCACCTCCAATGCTGAAGCCCAGAATTAAGTTCTCACCTTGACGCAGCTTGTGAATTTCAACTCTTTGCTGGCAAAGATGAAAAAAACGCGTTGGGGATGAGTGGGTATGGAGAGCAAATGGGGTCTGTGACCCCTGCAACACCTTCAGGCGGCTGGGTAGGCTCAGAGCCATGCCCTGGGGGCAGGACCCAGGGCCTCTTGCAGGAACCTAGCTGGTCACCAGGCTGGGAGGCCGGGGGGTTGAGACTCAGAACTCAGACACACCAGTCCACCCCCACAACCCTCCGTCCTAACCTCTCCCAGCTTCCTCTGCCTCAGGCACCAGCCTTCCTCACACATGTTAAGCCCCTTCTGGCCCAAAAGCCAGGCTGCTGTGGCTGCTCTGGATGGGCTCCTGTGTCCTAAGGGAGGGACCACACAGGGCACAAGTGGTCAGGCCCTGAAAAAAAAATGCAGGCACCTGCCTGAGCCAGTTCAGATTGCTGAGCCAGCCCTGTCCAGGGCAAGCCAGGAGATGCTCGGGAAAAGCAGAGACTGGACTTGCACAGAAAGGAGGAAGGGTTGTCCTGGCCAAAGGAACAGGAGCAGAGGCTTGAAGGTGCTGTGGATACATGTCCACGAGACCAGAGTGTACAGTGCAGGACCGGAACTGGGAGGTGAAATGAGGCTGAGCCCAGATCAAGAAGGCTGAGGAGGACAGGAGGGAGGGGGCATCTCCCTAAGCCTCAGGCCCTGACTTGTGCAGTGCAGGAGGCAGAGGAGGGATCTAGAGCTCTCCCACCATTCTCTAAGGTTGGGAGTTCCCATCTGTGCCAAGTTTCTTTCAAAGTCCTCAGCAGGCACCTCTGGTCACCAGATGCTGGGAGCCAAACCAGACAGCCCCACCTCCAAAGTTGAGTCTTAACAGAAAGAGAAAAAAGCCAAAGCAAAAGGTGACTGGATCTGGACCAGAGGGCTTCACGAGGGAGGTACCATTTGCACCAGGCCTTGGGACCGACCAGGAGTTTGGCCACCTGATCTTGATTCTGGGCCCACTGGAGCTCTTAGGAGTTGGGGAGGGCTGGGTGATGGTAGATCGTAGTCAGATTTGATGCTAGAACGACCACTCAGGCAGAAGGGGAATAGATGTCTCACCAAGGTGGGATATGGAGGCCAGGGGACATGAGCCACTAAGAAAGTGAGATCCACAGATTCCAGGGACTTCGCTGGTGGCCCAGTGGTTAAAACTCCTCACTCTCAATGCAGGGGGTCCAGGTTTGATACCTGGTCAGGAAACTAGATCCTGCAGGTCAAGTGCCCACATGTTGCAACTAAGACCAGGCACAGCCAAATTTAAAATAAAATGAAAAAACAGACTCCAGACTACTTGTGGCAGAAAAGCATCAAGGGAAGCACTGGGCCGGCCACCTGGCCTGGCTGAACACAACCACCTCCCAGATGGGGACCCCAGAGGGGTAGGAGCTTGTTGAGCTGGAGAGCCAGGAGTGCTCCAGGCAGGGGTCCAGAAAGCAGACCAGCCTACAAAGCCAGAGTTAAGAGGAGAAGCCAAAATGTTCACTACATGGGAGAGGGCACGGGGTAGGGAGGAGCTTCTTCCACCCCATCCTCGATCCAAGACACAAGAGGGAGAGGCCAGACCCCACCCACTGTGTTCAGACATGTTCCTAGTATGAGAAGAATTGGAAGGTCAAGGTCCTAAAGCTTTGAGGAAGACCCAGGGACCAGCCATGATATGTGAGAGAGGGGTTGTAGGAAGCGTGACAGCTGCAGCCCACTAGACCTACGTCCTCCGTGCCCAAACGTGTGCACTCCTCCAGGCCCGCCTCCACTTCCTCTGACAAACACCTTTGCACACCTTTGACACACTCCAAGTTCAGAAAAAAGTACAGGCTCTAAGACTAGGAGATAAGGTACTGTCACTGATTTGCTGGGCGAGGTCAGGCAGGTTACTGCCCATCTCTGGTTCCCCACCTGCACCCATTTTTTTTTTTTTTTTTTTTTTTGCCAACTAAGGAGCAAACTTGACCCCTTCTCTTTAGGGCAGCTAGAGAGCTGGGAAAAGCAGGCTGGTGCAGCCAAGGTGAAGCTGAGGACTGCTGTCAACAGGTCCAGCCCAGGCTGGAGCTGGTGCTCTAAGCTCACCCTCAAATGTCAGCTCTATCAGTGGCTCCCTGGTCACACCACCTGACTGCAGGAGTCACCAGCACAGCCATCTGAAATACTGCAGCCAGTCCCAGGCCCCAGGGTTGGGACTTCCACCCAACCCGTTCCCTGCCCAGAAGGCATTTCTTCTCAGCGACCTGGTTCCTTTCTGAGGGCTTCTTTGCACAACTAGGCATGACCAGACTTCTCTCTAGGTCTCAGTTTCCCCACCTCAGCCACAGAGTGGGGCCTGCAGGTCCCATTCGGCTGTGGCTTTAATATCTGGCTCTAATGTCCCCGCCTGCCTTTACCTATTCTAATGGTACTTGGCACCCGAGACAAGCCAAGGGAGGAGAGTAGGGACTGAGCGGACCCCAAAAGCTCTCCTCAGGCCCCAGGTGCCAGCTAGGGGGCCTGGACTTTGCCCCAAGGGCTGGGAATCCAGAGAAAGTTCGATCAGGATCGAGCCCGTTGCATGAACCTTCACCCTGGCCCGGGCGGCGGTGGGTCCGAGTAGGAAAGCCTGCACAGGAGGGGTGAGGGTCTGGCTGCTACGCTGGCCCCGGCCACCTCCACCCCCAAGCCTCCCTCTGGGCGGCGGCGCCTGCTAGAGCGGAGGAAGCACTTCCTCATTCCAGAGGCTGCGACTCAGACGTCGGGGCCGGCGCCCGCCCCTCGCAGCTGCCCAGCTGGGGACACAGATCCAGGAAAGAGGCGCTTTCCTAGACTTCCACAGCCGGAACATTTCTCCACAATCTTCCCTGCCCCCGGCTGGCCGAGAGAAGTCCAAAGCGGCAGCGGTAATACGCGGGGTCTGGCCTGGATTCTGGCTCTTCAGGAGGTTTCTGGATCCCAGGCACTTCTGTTGCAGGGCTGGGGAAGACCGCGGCCCGGCTCAGGTAGAGCGGGAATCGGAGCTCTGGCTGCAAGTTTGCAAGAGCCCCCCTCGACGCTCTGTCAACCTGTTTCGGGTGTCAGTTTACCTATCTGCAAAGTGGGGGGAAGCCAAGATGAGGAGGAGCCCGCGCGAGCGCACTCACCACCACGGCGGTGACGGGCTGGCCCGGGACGTACGACATCTCGACCCCAATCTGGTAGCCAAGCGTAGCTTAGAGAAACCCTCAGCGAAAATACCCGCGGCCGCGCCCTCTCTAGTAGAGCGGGAATCGGAGCTCTGGCTGCAAGTTTGCAAGAGCCCCGCTCGACGCTCTGTCAACCTGTTTCGGGTGTCAGTTTACCTATCTGCAAAGTGGGGGGAAGCCAAGACGAGGAGGAGCCCGCGCGAGCGCACTCACCACCACTGCGGTGACGGGCTGGCCCGGGACGTACGACATCTCGACCCCAATCTGGTAGCCAAACGTAGCTTAGAGAAGCCCTCAGCGAAAATACCCGCGGCCGCGCCCTCTCTCGGTTAACAAAGGCGGCCCAACCAGGCCCGCCCCCTTATGAATAGTTAAGAAGTCTCCGGCCAATCACCGACCGGAGCGCTGTTCGGCTTTCGGAAGTCACGGCGAGTGCGCAGAAAATCAGGGAACGGGCGGAGCGTATGCGGGGCTACCACTACGCATGCGTTGGAAGGCTGGCACGGGTTCCAGGCGCCTGCGCAGCCTGGGCCGTCCCAGCATCCTCCAGCGCAAGATGGCGTCGCGGGGATCCATACCCGAGGTTTTCTGAGGGAACGTCGAGTAACCGCGTCCGCGGCTGAATTCCAGGTAACTGAGCGAGTCTGGGCGGGAAATGCAGATGTACCGCCGGCACCCCGAGCTCTAAGCCTTCTCAGCATCTTTCGACCGAGGGGTGCTGGTTCTCGGCGGCCCCAGGGGGAGGGGCGGCGTGAACCCAAACTCGCCATGCTCTGGGCGCCACTTGTAACTTGGTTCTCTCCACAGCCCCGTGTTGCTCCACGAGAAATCAGGCTGAGCCCGGCAGGGTGCGATGGCCGCCGTGGTGGCCAAGCGGGAAGGGCCGCCGTTCATCAGCGAGGCCGCTGTGCGGGGCAACGCCGCCGTCCTGGATTACTGCCGGACCTCGGTGTCGGCTTTGTCGGGGGCCACGGCCGGCATCCTCGGCCTCACCGGCCTCTACGGCTTCATCTTCTACCTGCTCGCCTCCATCTTGCTCTCCCTGCTGTTAATTCTTAAGGCGGGAAGGAGGTGGAACAAGTATTTTAAGTCGCGAAGACCTCTCTTTACAGGGGGCCTCATCGGAGGCCTCTTCACCTACGTCCTGTTCTGGACATTTCTCTACGGCATGGTGCACGTCTACTGAAACGGGGGCAGGGATGACTTTTTTTAAAAAAACAGATCGGGAGGACTGTTGCCAGAAATTAACACCGGGTAGATTTACCTAGTTTTTAAATTGTTGGAATCGCTGCTTGTTCTGTAACGTTATAAATAATTTATATCTGAAGACGAAGAGCCTGTACAGTTCTTCAGATTAAATGAAGCGTGAGACCCTTTGTGGAGTTTTTTCCCTCCCTCGTGGCATAGCCAGTGGCTGTCAGGGGTGCAGAATAAGGGAGAACTGGGACTAGGCCTCAGCTTTCTGTCTTGATTCCTTACATTTACGCATAGGCCACCCAGAGAGAGGATGAAGCGAAGTGAAGTCGCTCAGTCGTGTCCGACTCTTTGCGACCCTGTGGACTGTAGCCTACCAGGCTCCTCTGTCCATGGGATTTTCCAAGCAAGAGTACTGGAGTGGGTTGCCGTTTTCTTCTCCAAGAGATAGCATAGGAGGACCTAAACAGGAGAGAACTTACCGTTAACATCCTGAGAACTAGTAACTGAATATTAAGTGTTCCCTACATGGACAGAAGAGCCCGTCAAGCTACAGTCCATGGGGTCTCAGAAGAATCGACTGAGCAACAACAAATATGCCAGGCATTGTACCTTTTACACTTGTTACTTTTTTACACTTGTTACTTTACACTTGTAGTTCAGTTACCAGGTGCTGAGTTCCTCAGTCATGTACCACTCTTTGCAACCCCATGGGCTGTGGTCCACCAGGCTCCTCTATTCATGGAATTTTCCAGGCAGGAATAGTGAAGCAGGTTGCTGTTTCCTTCTCCAGGGGATCTTCCTGATGCAGGGGTCGAACCCAGGTCTCTTGCGACTCCTGCATCAGCAGGCAGATTCTTTATCACTGTGTGTGTTGCCTCCCTGTGGGGGAATCGTCACCAGTCTCCCACCCAATAGGTGGGGATGCTCTTACCACTGTACTCACCAGGACTGCTACCTGATATTACAAATAGATTATGATAAGAACTATGACGAGAGTACAGAGGAGCCCCAAACCTAGTCCAGATTGGGGATGGGGGGGGGGGGATTGGGTAGCTTCCTTTAAGAAATAGCATTACAATTGAGACTCAAAACTGTGAAGAAGGGGGTTACGTGCAAGAAAGTGCATGTGTGAGGGCGATTGGGAAGGAAGTACTTTGCCCTGGGTCTGAAGTTAAGAGGCTATGAGGTAGGCCACAGTGGGGAGTTCTGCTTTCAAACCAAACTTGGGTCCACCCGTGCACAATACAGCTAATCTGCTGACACCAGGTAGCAGTGTTTTATCACAGGCAAGAAGCAAGGAGACCAGGCAGCTAGTGCTCAAAAGGCCTAAAACTTTCAGCTTTCAGGGAGAGGTTTTTTTGAGATAAGGGTAAAGGAGAGGGTTTCAGGGTGTGTAATTAACTTGAGGACATTGTTCTGATTGGTTGCTCTTGAAGTGACCAGGAGTTGACACCATCAACCAAATGGTTCTAACCCATCTGGGATCTGCGTGCTTGTGGGCAGCATGCAGTTAACTTCCCCCTGGTGAGGGTTCCAGTATCTGCTAAACAACTCAAAAAACATGGCTCAAAATATTATCTATAGCCCCTGGGAAGGATCTGAATGTCCTGGACTTAGTTATCATTGGCCTAACTATTGTTATTTTGTCTTCCTTGACGGTTTTCATTTCTTTCTGCACTTTCTCACTTCTCTGATTAAATTACGACTCCTGCATTAGCAGGCAGATTCTTTATCACTGTGTGTGTTGCCTCCCTGTGGGGGAATCGTCACCAGTCTCCCACCCAATAGGTGGGGATGCTCTTACCACTGTACTCACCAGGACTGCTACCTGATATTACAAATAGATTATGATAAGAACTATGACGAGAGTACAGAGGAGCCCCAAACCTAGTCCAGATTGGGGGTGGGGGGGGGATTGGGTAGCTTCCTTTAAGAAATAGCATTACAATTGAGACTCAAAACTGTGAAGAAGTGGGTTACGTGCAAGAAAGTGCATGTGTGAGGGCGATTGGGAAGGAAGTACTTTGCCCTGGGTCTGAAGTTAAGAGGCTATGAGGTAGGCCACAGTGGGGAGTTCTGCTTTCAAACCAAACTTGGGTCCACCCGTGCACAATACAGCTAATCTGCTGACACCAGGTAGCAGTGTTGTATCACAGGCAAGAAGCAAGGAGACCAGGCAGCTAGTGCTCAAAAGGCCTAAAACTTTCAGCTTTCAGGGAGAGGTTTTTTTGAGATAAGGGTAAAGGAGAGGGTTTCAGGGTGTGTAATTAACTTGAGGACATTGTTCTGATTGGTTGCTCTTGAAGTGACCAGGAGTTGACACCATCAACCAAATGGTTCTAACCCATCTGGGATCTGCGTGCTTGTGGGCAGCATGCAGTTAACTTCCCCCTGGTGAGGGTTCCAGTATCTGCTAAACAACTCAAAAAACATGGCTCAAAATATTATCTATAGCCCCTGGGAAGGATCTGAATGTCCTGGACTTAGTTATCATTGGCCTAACTATTGTTATTTTGTCTTCCTTGACGGTTTTCATTTCTTTCTGCACTTTCTCACTTCTCTGATTAAATTAATTCTTTGGAACTCAGGGAAGGCTCAGAGGCAGAAGCTTCTACAGACAGGAGGCAGGTAGAGGACAGTCTATCCTGGGAAGGCCACATAGGGTCTTGCTCAATTACAGTTTGACCTTTATACTAACATATGAAGGGGGAGCCTTTGAAAGTTTTAGTTAGAAGTGATGTGATCAGATTGGGACTTTAAGAATCAGTTTTTGATCAGAAGGGGATCTGAAAACTTGAAGCCAAGTCCCCTTTTACAGATAATAGGTGGCCTGTGACCAACGCCTCCTGAATCCCATTTGGGTTGTGTACCAGATGCTTTCACATGAAGCTAAGAAGTGACTGAGGCGATAGCTTTGCCTGCATCTCCCAGTGACCACCTCTGAACTCTCAGTGGGGGGTCGGTCTTGACACCGAGTAAGGGGGAAGCAGAGTGAGTCCTACTGGTGAGTAAAGCAGTGATCTGATTTACTTAACCTTTCCTCTATTGCTGGGCAGGAAGATTGAGATGCTCACTTTTATAAAAAAAAGTGCATGTCTGTATCATTTTGAGGGAGTTTAATCTACTAGAGCAGAAGCTAAAAACCTGATTCTAAATGCTAAGTACCAGTTTTATCAGTGCCTTCCTGGTCCTTTAATATTAGCGCATTTAAGAAGTTTCCGTACTTTAATTTTAATTTCTTTGCAAAGACAGTAAGGAAGGTAATATGTTGCTCACTAAGTGTTTCTTGTGTCTGCCTGTTTTGGTCATGTCTTTATGTTTTCCTCTAAAACATGGGATGTCTGTGAAAATATGAAAGATAAAAAAAGAGTACATTTAAAGTTAACACCTTTTTATTGTCTTATAGCCAAATTAAAATGTCAGAGAATGCATGTATTGGGCAGAACTCAGAAGGTGCTTGCCATCCTCCCCGCTTTAATTCTGTGAATGGGCCTAAGGGGAGAGAGCTGGAAGAAAGGTGTCTTTTGTAGACAGCATTCTTGGCTCCCTTGGAGAATATGCTCTGAAGAAAGTTGTACCACTTGGGGAGGAGAGAGGCAGGTTGGAACCAAGTAGACCAGACATCCAAGATGCCTTTCCACATGGGGTGATGTTAGGACTTCCCAGGGCACTCAGAGACACCTGGAGGAAGTCACAGTCTCCGTTTATGACTGGCCCCGGGGGGGGGGCAGCTAGCCACTGAGAGAGGAACTGATGGAGTTGGGTTGGGGGGTGGGGCACAGAAAAGCATCCATGACGGATCAGTCCTGATGACCCCGAGTCAGGAGTAAAGGGCACTCTGCTCTTTCAGTGGCCGGTCCCCATCATGTCACACTAATAGCACTTAATTTAAAACTTTCCTGTTGGCCAGCATCATGGTACTCCAAAGGCATAAGAATAAGTCTGATTGTCAGGCAGATGGCTTTTAGGCCAAGGCTTGAACATAACCATAGACGATTCCTATCATACTGAGATGTTAACATGGACAGATCCTGAGAGGCTGGCATGGTCATCTTTCTGCGCCAAGGGAAAGGGGCTTTCCCAAGTTTGAAAAGTGCTCAGATTCCTGCTCCTCTTCTTCCCCCTTCAGAGTCAAGATTATGCAGGGGGGGGCGGGTGTCGGAGGGAGAACTGTGCAAAAGCCAGGGAACTGGCTATGTGTGACTATCCAGAAGCTGTGATGGGGGTCACTGGGCCATCTGTGCAT